TTTTCTTTTAGTATTTTAACTTCTTGTTTAAGATTTTTAATTTCGTTTTGCAGGTCTTTTATGGTTACTTGTTGACTAGGGTTTCTAAACATATTATAAATTTCTTTTATATTTATGGGCTCTATTTCATTTTTGATTTTTTCTGTTTTTGTAATTAGATCGTTTAATTGAGTTAAAAATTCTGTTTTTAATGGTGAATCTTCCATTTTTCCTATTATATGTATTAGTGTAGAAGTTTGGTCTCCTGTTAGCATATTTATGGTTCTACAGTTTTTACAATCACAAATTTCTTGGCCTAAACAATATTCATTTTCGCTTTCTCCTTTTGAGCTATCAGTTTCTAATTGTTCTAATTCTAATTCACTGCTAATTTCTTCCTCAGATTCTATGAAATCTTCAGATTCCTCTGGTTCGGAATTAATTAATATATTTAATAGACTCTCTTTTAATTTTTCATCTTGAATTTGGTTTATTTTTTGGATTACTTTACAATTATTGGCATAGTGACCTAATTTACCACATTTCCAGCATACATTATCTCTTTTCTTTTGTTTATTATGTAATGGTTTTCTTTTAGGTTTTTGTTCTATTGTTTTACTTTGTGTTTTATTATAGGGTTTTTTATATGGGTTTTTGTATTGAGTTCTATTGGGCTTTGTGGCCTTTTTAATAGCTTTTTTGTTTTTTGCACTAGGAGCTCTAATGGGTTCCATCCCGTATTGTTGACAAAAAGATCATATTTCTTTTTTATTAATCATGTTATCTTTTCTAATTTTATTTTGTAATTTATAATCAGTACATATTTGTAATCCAGTTTTTACTATTATATTATGTATTTGGCCATAGGTTAATGTATTGTAAGGTATTGGATTTCCATAATGTTTTTCTATATTCATTTTTACTTTTTCAGCAAATAATTTTGGTAATCCGGCTAAGAATCTCTCTTTCCAAAAACTAGCAAATCCATCTGGTCTTAATGTTATTTTGGATAAGAAATTATCTTTATACCATCTGTAGTCAGACATTGTTGGACAATATAGGTTAGCTAGTTGATTGGCTGCTCTATCCTTATATATATTAGGATCTCCTACAAAATTATTAATTATGGTATAAATTAAAGTAGATACTGCATTTTCTTGGTTTCCTTCTGGTTTTACACTATTTATTATCATTTGTTTTTCTTCATTGGAACAAAGATTATCCCACCAACCTTTCAGTTGGCCGGTAAACCCTTGTATTATAATTATGGCAGCTGATTTATCACTACTTCCTTTAGTCTTATAGGCAGTTGCGGCCATGGTCATTTGGCATGTTAAATCTAATATGGCTTGTTCACTAAGTCCATCTAGATTCCATTCTACTATTGAATCTCCAGAAAATGAATTTTGAATATATTCACTTTTTTCTTCAAATTGTATATCAGCAGCTGTGGGTCTAGGATAATAATTTCTAAGTTTTGGATATGATCTAAGTTTTTCTATTGATAAAGTATTTATCATGTTTTTATTTAAGTTTAGTTCTTCAAACATTCTTTTTAATTCGTCTATTTTTAATCCAGTATTATCTCCTAGTTTAATATCATTTAATTCTTCTTGAGGTATTTCTAGTACTTTATATATTGGACTTTTAGGTTTTTTAGACTTATTTGAACTATTAGCATTTTCTGATTCAGTTTTGTTTTCTATCCTATCTAATTGTTTTGACATTACTTCTAGCATGGTATTAGAATAATTTAATTGAGAGTTTATTTTTTTAATATCTCTTTTTTCTATAGGCTTATCATCTATAATTGTATCTTTGTATGGACTAGCTTCTACATCTAAGTCTTTTGAAGGATTTATTATTATTCCTTGTTGTGGTGGATATTCTGATTCTATTATTTCATTTTTTAATGTTTTCCAACTAGTAGTTGTTTTAATTAATGGATTTAATTCTTTACTGTTAAAAGGATATTCTAATTGGTTTATTTTACTATATTGTGAAAACCAATCAAAAAAATAAGGTTTATCTCTTTTTGTTCCATATAATTATAAAATTCTTCTCTAAATTTTATAGTTTCTTCTTTACTATAAGTTTTAAAATACCAATCTCTTTTATCTTTATTATAGTTAGTTTCAAATCTTTTCTAATCCAATCTTTATCTATTTCGAAAGATTCTACTTTATTTAAGGTATTTAAAATTTGTGAGATCGTTGGAGAATATTGAGGTGATTTCGATTTCTTAGATTCTTCATATATTGGTCTTGTAACTATAGGAGTTACATTATGTATTCCTTTTAAATCTAAATTTAATGTTGATCCATCTATTGAGTGTCTTGAGGATTGTCCTTTGTGAATTACTTGTGGTTCTCTTATTGTTAAAGAGGATGATCTATTCATTTTTAATCTAATATTTGGGCCTTCTTGTATTATTTCTCTAATTTGTGTATTATATATTTTTGGTTCTTCTATAATGTTTTTTAATTTCCATTCTTCAGGTATATGACTAATAATTTCATTATGACTTAATCTTTTAGGTGTTTGAATGGATGATTTTTTAAGATTGGCTTCTACCAAGATTGTTTCTTCTTTGGATGAAGATCTTAGGGCTCTATAGTTGTAATCTATTTTTGTCACTTTATAATAAATTCTATATATAATTTGTATTGGACCAGATTCCTCATCTACAATTTCATCAGGAATTTGTGCATATAATTTTATAGCATTGCTTGTTTTATCATTTCTAATATTCATAGAAAAATTAGGGTAACAATTAAAGAAAGCGGGACCATCATGCAAGTTACTTTCTAATATGGCTATTATGGAATCATTAAATTTTTTAAGTCTTATATCACGTAATAGTATTAATATTGGACTATTAATTCCTATTCTATAATTAGGTTTGGCGGCTACTTGTATTAATCCTAGATGTATAAAATTATATCCCTTTCTAATATGTTGGTCTAATATATTTTGTTCTAGAATATTTATTATTTTATTATTTTTAGTACCTGGATAGCTATACTCTACTATGTGTATTTCATCTTGGTTGACATTCCAGAATTTATGTTGTTTATAAACTTCACATTTTTTTATTATAGGTATTGACCAATTATGTAGGGAGTTTTCTATTTCTGCAATTTCTAATTCTTTATCTTTATTATCTTGTTGATAAGAGGAAGAGACTTCTTGCTGTGGGGTTCTTACTACTATCTGTTTATCCTTATTTCTTAATCCTAGATCGCTTAAAGTTCTTAAGAAATTAGGCATTCTTGTTCTCTCACGGGTTTCCATGCTACGGGACCACCTTTACCGATCACGCTAAACCAACGGTTTTACTGCCTCTCTCAGGTCTTACTACCGGGACCACGTGCTCCTAGGGCTGACCAACGTATAAGTACCTCGCAGTACTACACTTATACCCTTAAAGAACCAGAATGTCTAAACTCTTAATTACTTAAGGATTTTTAGATTAAGATACAATTTTAAACAAATATTAGTTTGAACCTAAGCCCAAGGATTCCCTGCTTCTCTTAATTTTCTTTTAAGATATCTAATATTACATTGATACCAGATTTTTATCCAATTATGTAAAATTGGGTCGTTTTGTTTCAATTCAGTTTTTTATTCATGTGCTTTCTAAATTTTCTTTTAAGACAGCATATTCTTCTAACCATACTAATGGCTGGATTTGGACTATGTTCTAGTCTGAGATTAGCATCATTTAAATTATTAACAAATTCTAATCCTGGTAATACAGGGTGTGGAAGATGAGCGAATTGTTCTCTGGATGGTGAGTCTAACATATTATAAGGGTTTGGTGCATAAATTGGATATTCCATTATATTATCCCCCAAAAGAAAATTTAGAATAATTTTATAGAAAAGATATAGATACAATAAAAATATAATTCTAGCAAATATTGAGAAAATGAGATTGCAAATCATTCGGATAATTAAAACTATTGATATAAATCAATAGTGGCTCGATACCACTTAAGCAAATATGCAGGATCGAATATAAGAAATTTGAATCGGCTTAGCTAGGTTAGACCAATTTCTTATATATTTATATATAAATATATAAATATATAAATATACAAATATACAAATATATAAATACATAAATACATAAATATATAAATACATAAATATATAAATATTTAAATATATAAATATATAATTATTTAAATATATAAATATATAAATACATAAATACATAAATACATAAATACATAAATATATAAATAGATAAATATATAAATACATAAATACATAAATACATAAATATATAAATACATAAATATATAAATATAAATATATAAATATATAAATATATAAATATATAAATATATAAATATATAAATATATAAATATATAAATATATAAATATATAAATATATAAATACAAATATATAAATATATAAATATATAAATATATCAATATATCAATATATCAAAATATATATATATTTTATATTTATATATATTTTATATTTATATATTTTTTATATTTATATATATTTTATATTTATATATTTTTTTATATTTATATATATTTTTTATATTTATATATATTTTATATTTATATATTTTATATTTATATATTTTATATTTATATATTTACACTGGATAAATATAAATATAATTTATTTGTAAATTATTTTCAAAATAACCTAATAACTTAGTGGTTAGAGTATCGTCCTCCAACTCGAGTACTCGGGTTCGAATCCTGCCAATGACAATTCCCTTAATCTAATAATAATTCAAAGTTTCGAAAATATAATATAAAGGGGAAGGGGGTTCTAGGTAATAATAAAAAATAAGGGAGGGAGTTGTAATAAATAAAAATACCTTGTTAAGGTAAGTGCATTACCTACGGATTTTACCCGTAGATAATAAGCGTTTTTTTTGTAGTGAAAATATATCATTTTGAAATGCTAATTTGGTGCCAAAATTTTTGGATGATTATAGCATGTAATTATAGAACAACAAATTAAATTTACTAAATGAAAAACTTACTTCGATAGTTGAAGCTATTGCAATGATTACATATGGAACATATGATTTAATCTCTGCTATGTTCTTTTGTGCAAAGAAAGGATAATTGAAATCGTTTCCTCCAATTTCACCGATTAGAAATAATGAGCTCCTGAAAACTTCATGACAATCTGCAAAATTAAACCAGAATTCAGAGTTTGATATCATTATGAGTTAAATCAAATGGGATTATGTTGGATTTTTAGGGCATGGGTCTATAACTTTGTCTTCCCTATCCATAAACCTGTGCTCATCATTTTCAGAATATAGACAGTACATAAAAATATTAACAATGTATCTTTATCATTTCTGTCAAAAAAAATATTGTTTATCTTTTAGTAAGATTAATATTTAAATAGTTCTCACATTAATTTTTATGTAAAAATAAAGCTCTCATGCAAATTCATAAATGTCAAGAAGTTCTAGTTAATATGAATTCTTCATCTATTAAAAAACTATTCAATTCACAGACCAAAGAACCTACATGTATGATTGAAAAATATATTTAAAAAATCACTTACTGTTGACTTATAAACTTGGTTATGCTTAAACTATTTAGTGTCTTGTATTTGAGAATTTGTATGTGTGGGGGGAGCGGAGAACCTCTCGATCAAGAAATCTTTTTTAAGGCCTAGAGTTTAAATATATGTAAAAATCTGATGAATAAAATAACTCAAAACCATCTTGTATTGACCACAATTAAATAAAAAAAATTAAATATGTTCTTAATTTTGAGGTAAATGAATGCAGAGGAAAGAAGGAAAAGGAAGAATATCTAATGGGTAATTTTTTTCTTATCTTACAAAAATTAAGGTAAACTATGAATTTGTTGTGTGAGATTATTTTTAATTAAGTTATTATTAATTTTATTTTAATATAATTTTTTTAAAATAAATTTTAAAGAATTAATTTTTTCTCATATTTTCTCTTTTTAATTATTTTTAATTATTTATTTTTTAAATTGTTTAATAAAATAATTATAAAAATTTAAACAACTTTCTATGCTAGAATTTTTACACCGAAAAATTACTTGAAACAATTAAAAACATTAAAAATCAGACCATAGATTCAACTAGTTTAAAAATCGATATTATTTTTAAATAAAAATTAGTATGTTATTTTAAAATAATTAGATTTAATTAAATAATGAAAAAAATAGATAAATCTAATAAAATTGAAAAAAAAATTAGTTAAACTGATTTTGATAAAAAAATTAAGATCATATTTTTTAATATAGTTTTTTATAAAAAATATAATATATTTTAATTTTTTTCATCTCATATTAATTATATCAATTTTAAATCATAATTATTTTATTATATTTTTATCTTATTTTAAAATTTATACATTTTTCATTTTTTAATATATTTTATTTTTTAACATTCGTTTGAAAATAATAATAATAATATTTATTTCTTTTAATTAAAAAAATATTCTTATCAAAAAATTTATTATATTATAAAAATATTATTTTAAAAAAATATTATTTTATTAAATTTGATGGAATATGAATAAACCTCTGTACCCTGAATCATGTGTTTAAATATTTTCCATTGCAAGAATTCAATGTATTTAATTTTTTTATAATTAAAATAAATTTTGTAAATATTTTTAAAAAGATTTATATTTAAATAAAATTAAATATGAGTTAATTAAAAAAATATATCAACTAACAAATCTATATTTTACAATTTTTATAATATAATTAAAAATTTCTAATAAGTCTCAACGAATAACTTCCATTAAAGAAAAAAGAAATTAAAAATGTCTTGAGGAGGGTGCGTCATAGTGTGGGTATCAACAAAGGAAAAGATTAATGGAGAATTGACCTGAGGAAGAATTGCAGAGAGCAGGAAGCAATTCTTTGAACCAATTCAATTGAGCTGTCAAAGAATCATTGGTTGCGATAGAAACGCCCCTCTCCTCAAAGAACCTTGGTTCTAACGCCGTCGCTCCAATAACAGCAAAATTCGCTCCCCCTTTCTTATCCCATCCCTTCATCTTAATTCCCAGATATGGTTTCACCATTGCAAGTCCCAGTGACTCAGCTGCACTTAACACAATCCCAACACACTGAAACCCTAAACATATTGGAACAATAAATAATTAAAAGTATAAGTAATAGAAGTAGAGAAATGGTACCTATGAAATCGATGATGAGGCGACCATTGGAACAGCGACCAGAGACGTGGTGAAAGAAGGTTTGACCGTAGGGAGGGAAGAAGCAGTGGCTGGAAGGGGGGTAGGAAGCCAGATACAAGTTGCCAGTGTCAGCGAGGGAATCTCCGAAACTGAAGATGGAGGTGTAAGGGCATGGCACCGAGGCCAATGACGGTGGTGATTCTGAATTTGAAGAAGCTATCACAAATGTTGCCGCTACCACTGCTATTGTAATCCATAGCTGTTCACAGATGCAAATCCACCTCATTGGGGTTGGGGGTAGCTTCACTACACTACTTGATGGACAAACTTCAATTTATTTTTTTTATTTCCACGTGATTCCCAATGTTATATTATTTTATAAATTTTATACAGTACATGACTCTCTCACCCCATCAAAAGCTAGTATTTATTTTTTATTCAAAACACTATACAGTACATGATCTCATTTATTTATTTATTTATTATTATTATTATTAAATGTACTATAAATAATTAAAATAATTAAGAATAAAATATTAATAAATAAAATAATTAATATTTATAAATTTTATTATAAAAATTATTTATTGATAATAATATATTTTATTATAATAATTACATTAAACAATTTAAAATTTATTAAATTATTATTAATATTAACTAAAAAATTATCATTAAAAAATAAAATAAATTATTAATTAATTTTTTCATTAATACTTATTATTATTATTATTATTCTATTTATTACTTTAGAATTCAATAAATTAATAATAATAATTATTATAATTATTTAGTTAATAAGTAATAAATATAATAATAAATATAAATTATTTTATTTATAATATTTTTATATTTAATATTATTTTTAATTGTATTATTAATATCATTATTAATTTTATTATTTATTATTAAAATTATCATATAATTATTTTTATTAAAAATAAATTTTGTAATAAAAATTACATTAAGAACTAAAAAAATTATTTTTATGTTATCAACTAAATAATTACAATTATCATTATTAATAATTAAATTAAATTGTAAAGTAATAAATAAATAATAGTAATAATAATAAGTATTAATGAAAAATTGTAATTAATAATTTATTTTATTTTTTAATCTTAAAATTTTAGTTAATAATAATATTTATTTAATGAATTTTAATGTAATTATTATTGTGAAATTTATCATGAACAAGAAATAATTTTAATAATAAATAATTAATTATTTTATTTATTAGTATTTTGTTATCAATTACTTTAGTTATTTATAATAAATTTAAAAAATAATACACTATGAAAATAAAAATTTGAAAATGATTTTGATAATCTTATATCTATAAAAATAAGTAATTTAATGTATTTATCAATGAAAATATTCATATTAATTAATAAAAAAACATTTTTTATTAATTTTAATTTTTTCATTTTAAAAATTAAAAAATATTTTAATAAAATAATTATCAAACAAATTTTTTAATTTTAAAAACTAAAAAACTTGGAATAAATTTTAAATAAAAATCATGATTATAACAAGGGAAGCGAGTTCAAATAAAATCTTCAATATGCAAAATTGTATAATTTTAAATTAATTTTGCTTTGTTTTATGTAAATACAGTGAAATGGGAGAGCTACAGATAGAGAATGAATAACTTTTCTTTTTTCATTGATGTATGAAAACTGTAATGTTTATATACAGTAAAAATAACAAACTAAAACAAAAAACGTGAACTAAACAGAAAACGCGAAAGTAAACCCATGCACGTAACCATGTCCCATGCATTTTGACTTAAATCTCAACATGCCTCCTTAAGTCAAAACCGAACAATTCCCAGAGACTCTCTGAGTTTACAAAATCTAACAGCCTTCAAAGGCTTTGTAAATATATCTGCACTCTAATCTTCTGTACTGCAGTGTTCTACTTCAAGCTTCTTATCATTAACCTGCTCTCTCAAGAAATGAAACCTCATTTCTATATGTTTGCTTTTTCCATGAGCTGATGGGTGTTTAGCTAAGTCTATTGCAGACTTATTATCAACAAACAATGTTGGTGGTTGGAACAATTCTGCATTCAGCGCCTTCAACAGCATCCTAAGTCATGCGGCTTGACATGCGACTGTGCGGCAGCTATATACTCGCTTCACGGAAGAGAGAGCCACCACGGGTTCCTTGGTCGAATTCCGGGACATCGGTCCTTCGCCATAGTAAAATATGTGACCTGCGAGTGCTTTTTCTATCTTCCCTGTCACCACACCAATCCGCATCCGCAAATCCCACCAATTTCATCTCACCCCCTGGCTTCTTGCATGGAAACATTATACCAAGATTACACGTTCCACGCAAATAGCGTAAGATACGTTTCACGGCATTCATATGGCTAACTTTCGGGCTCTGCATATGTCTACTAACAATGTCAACACCATAGCTCAAATCAGGTCTGGTGTTACACAAGTATCTCAGACTCCCAATGATTCTGCGAAATTTTGTGTGATCAACATCTTCCTCCTCAGTGTCCCTTTCTAATCTCAGACCCATTTCCGTTGGAGTTACTGCAGTATTGCAATTCTTCATCCCGAACCTGCTGAGAAGATCTCGTGAGTACTTCATCTGATGCATAATAGTTCCAGCTTTTGTGAACTGAAACTCAATGCCTAGGAAGTAGTTGAGTCTTCCCAAATCACTCATCTCAAATTCACTATGCATTTGAGACTTAAACTCTGCAATTGCTTTTGGCTTGCTCCCAGTCAACAACATATCATCCACATAAAGACATACTATCATTTTCTCTTCTCTGTCTTGGTCTTTCCAGCACTTGGTGTACACCCCTTGTTCGGAAACACATCTCACAAAACCAATCTTCTCCAAAAATTGATTGATCCAATGATTCCAAGCTCTAGGAGCTTGTTTAAGCCCATAGAGTGCCTTATTAAGCCTGTATACCTTATGCTCTTCTCCTTTGACTATGAATCCCAATGGTTGTGTTACATATATTTCCTCCTCCAAATAGTCATTTAAGAAGGCATATTTTACGTCTAGTTGGTGGAAGGACCAACCCTCCCACGTTGCCATTGCTACAATGATTCTAATAGTCTCCAGTCGAGCCACAGGAGCATAAATTTCTCCATAGTCTATTCCTGCTTTTTGGAGAAATCCTTTGGCGACCAATCTCGCCTTGTACCTCACAATTTCACCCTTGGGATTTACTTTTATTTTATAGATCCATTTCAGAGGGATTGGTCTTCTGTCTAGTGGTGGTTCAACCAGTGTCCACGTCTTGTTTTTCTCTATGGCTTCAATCTCTTCCTCCATGGCTCGCACCCAATGAGTATCTCGAATAGCATCATAGAATTCTATCTAATCTGCCTCAGCTATCAGGGCGAAATGCACAAAATTTTCATTCTCCGTTATCGCTAGATCATTGAAAACCTCATAATCCTTGAAACGTGTATGTGGCTGAGTAACTCGCTGTGATCTTCTTATTTGTTTATGAGGTTCCTGCTGCACTGTTACATCACCTACAACATTATCAGTTAGTGAAATTGTTGGTGTTGTACCTGATTGAGTTTCTTGACTCGTTTCCTGCCAGTTCCAACACGAGCTTTCGTCAACCACCACATCTCTGCATATGATTACCTTTCGAGAGTTTGGATTAAACAATTTATAGTCGCCTGTTACGTGATAGCCAATCAAGACTGCCATAACACCTTTGTCATCAAGTTTGCTACGTGTTTGATCTAGAATGCGGTGATAACAAAGAGATCCAAAAACTCTCATATGAGTTACATCTGGTTTCTGACCAGACCAGGCTTCCTTTGGTGTTATACCATCAAGCTTCTTTGTTGGTGAGCGATTCAAAACATAGGCAGCAGTTGAAATCGCTTCTCCCCATAGATATTTTGGAACACCCTTACTTTTAAGCATGCACCTTACCATGTTAAGTAAGGTCTGGTTCCTCCTTTCTACAGTACCATTATGTTGCGGTGTATATGGTGGTGTTGCCTCATGAGCTATTCCATTTTCAGCACAAAAATTCTTGAATTCAAGAGAGTTGAATTCTCCCCCACCATCAACACGAAGTCTCTTCAACTGCTTGCCACACTGATTTTCAACCAGTGTCTTGAGCCGCACAAACACTTTAAACGCTTCACTCTTCTTTCGCAAGCAATACACCCATAACATTCTCGTGTAATCATCTGTAAAAGTAATAAAATACTTGCTGCCCCCAGGTGTTTCAACCGGCAATGGACCACAAATATCTGAATGTATTAGCTCAAGTTTCTCCGAATTTTTCGAGGATTCCTCTTTACTGAATTTGTTCCGCGTTTGCTTGCACTCCATACACTCTCTACATACTTCATCTGGAACACACATATGAGGAATACCAACTACCATTTTCTTCTGTCCAAGTTCTCTTAAAGCCCGAAAGTTAAGATGTCCAAATCTGATATGCCACAGCCATTCGCACTTGTCACTGACAGCAGCAAAACATTGGTGCTTCAAAGCATCCATCTTAACCTGAAAGGTTCGATTGGAGGATAGACCAGCATGTATAACCAGCTTCTGGGTTTGATCAAAGACACGTAAGGCATTATCTTCAAGTGTCATCTTGAAACCTCTTTGCATCAACTGGCCCAAGCTCAGAAGGTTTGATTTCAACCCGGGCACATATAGAACATTTTCAATTATCACGTCCTTGCCATCACTGTTTCGCAACACAACTCTACCAGTTCCTTTTGCTGTGAGAGAACTATTATCTGCGAAACATATCTTTTCTTGACTAATATCACTTATTTGTACGAACCAATCTTTCTTCCCGGTCATGTGCGTGGAGCACCCAGAGTCCAAGTACCACAAATATTCACCGTCGAGCTTCGCATCTGTCTCCGCCATCAACATGACAGCCTCTTCATCAGAATTTTCTTCCTCTGCAAGATGAACTCGCGCATTCTTCTTTGGTCTGTTCTTGGCTCCATCACCATCCCAGCAGTCTCATGCATAATGCTCGAATTTTTGGCAGTTATAGCACTTGACTTTTTTCTTGTCATACTTCTTCTCTTTATCTTCTTCAGAATTTTGTTTCTGGTCTTTGTTCTTCTGCTCATCTGAATCTCCCTTCTTCTTTGTCTTAGTTCCTTTCTTGGAATCTTTTTTCTGCTTTCCATTCGTTCTTGCATGAAGAACCTGCTCTTGATAGGATCTCCGCTCAGACATCCACAACTCGTGGGCTTCGAGCGAATGTTGCAGCTCCTGAAAGGTCAGTGCATCCAGATCTTTCGTCTCTTCAATGGTAATTACAAGATGATCAAATCTTGGAGGAAGTGACCGCAAAACTTTGTTCACGATATTCTGTTCAGATACTTTGTCATCGCAAGAACGCATGTCATTAACAAGTTCCTGAACCTTGTTGAGGAACCCAGCCACCGAGTCACTTTCTTCCATGATGAAGAACTCAAATTGCCTTCGCAAAGCCTGTAACTTCACTTTCTTATGTTTATCCCCCGCACCATACGTACCCTCCAAGATAGCCCACGCTTCTTTGGTTGTGCCCGCCATGGAAATCCTATTAAAGATCGGTGAACTAACACATTGATAGATCAAGTACCTTGTCTTGCCATCTAACTTTTGTTGAATCTTGTAAGCCTTCTTATCATCCTCAGTAGCCTTCGCACCCAGTGGTGAAACACCATGCTCAACAACTTCAGCCACATGCTACCATCAAAGATAGGTAGACCCCCTTGTATCATCCCACCCATATCGGTCATGCTACACTACAAACCAGATCAAGAATGCACAAGAACCTTTCTTGATTACAAACTAAGACACCACTCTTTCCACTTCGTTGAAAAAATGCACTCTCACTAAACTGCACCACACACAGCGTCTGATTTGGTTGCAGGCACACACAACTCACGTCCTTGGACCGTAAAAAGCTCTTGATACCATGAAATGGGAGAGCTACTGATAGAAAATGAATAACCTTTCTTTTTTCATTGATGTATGGAAACTGTAATGTTTATATACAGTAAAAATAACAAACTAAAACAGAAAATGTGAACTAAACAGAAAACGCGAAAGTAAACCAATGCATGTAACCATGTCCCATGCATTTTGACTTAAATCTCAACATACTGAAGGGGAAGTAGTTCAATTCAATGATGCTTACATCACATTGATTTGGACATAATTAATCAAATACACCAATCAACTAAAAAGACAATCTACCAAACAATCACCTTTAAAAGACAATCTACCAAATAATCACCTAAAAATACAAATATCTTCAACATGGAATCTTTGAGATGAACCACTCCATAACCACTATTGGAGCCTTGATGAGAGCCAGAGCAAACTCCACTATGATTGTCACGCAAAGGCAACAAGGACATATGCATGTCAAAAGCAACCTGCCAAGGCATCACACACAACTATGCTCAATATTTTGAATCAAAGAACCAAATTATTAGGGTATTTCAAGTTCTTTTCTCTTACTCCAACAACATCAGTTTACATTTTTTTTTTTTTAACTATGATGGTTAATCCAAACTATACATAATACTTTTTAAGGTTATCTAACCCAGAATTTACAAAGTACAGTATCTTTTCATTACGAAAAAATATTTAATGCTTCAATCAACGGAGAAAAGAGAGAAACTTACCCAACTATCCACACAACCACACCCACAAGGGAGATGAGAAGAGACAAGAAGGCAAAAGGCAGGCCCAACAGAAACCCTAGAGGTCTGCATTGACAGTCTTCAGAGCAGCAACACATGGTTTAATAATATCTTGTTAATTGATCTTCTCCACTCAAGGTTCTGATATTTCTTACTATATATCTTGAAATTTTGATCTTAATGAAAAGCCAAATGCAACATAAACAAGAGCGTTGACGAAGAACACTTTAAATATTAATAAAATGAGTAAGATGGAAAAAACAGAATAAAATAAGTACACCCAGAAACACGTAGTTAGGTGCCGGTTAGCCACCAGTACTGATTCTATTGCTAGAATGATTAGGGTTGATCACCAATACCAAAACTCCACGTTCATCACGTTCCACTGCATCATTAACCAACTTTCTTAGCTTTATGAATAATTTTTTACTTTATTTTATTAGGAAATTAATTAGCCGTGGTAGTTTCAAATAATTGGTTGTGTGACACCTGTCTGCGTTACCATGCTAAGATTGAATCATTGAGTGGTGTTCAACTGGGGGGCTATCATCTGAGGAAAAAACTGGAAGCATGTCAAGGGTTACAATCAAGAAACTAATACGACACGATACCATGTCTCTGGAATCGATTCAGCAATTTCTTAAAATAATCACAAGTTATCAATACTACATCAATCAGGTCTAATCAACTTAAATTTTTGGGATACACTTTTAAAAAATTTAAAGATGTAAATTGAAACTACACAAATAACTTTAAAGGATACTACTTTGCATAAAACTTGATATTCCATACGGACTATCAAGTTTAAAAAAGAAATTAAAGAAATTATATGTTTATATCTTGTCATAAGAAGGAATCTTGTTTGTGGAGAGGGTATCAGGTTCAATAATCTGTAGTGATATTCTTATGTTTAGTATAAACTGTAAAAATATATTACAGGAAGCTATTGATTTCTAAGAAGGGGGATTTTTTTTTTCAATTTTGATTTATTTTTATTAATAGAAGAATTAAATTGAACAATATATATATATATATATATATATATATATATATATATATATATATATATATATATATATATATAACAATAAAATAATTATGAAAAGAAAAGGTTGTTTGCATCGCAATTGTTGTTTTTCATTCAATAACTCCTCGCTTTATAAAGCGAATCATTCACTTTAGAAGAGATATGTTGAGGCAATGTCCCTGTATTTAATCCCTCAGCAGTAGTTGAGAATTAATGTATGGCTACATCCAAGCCCAAAAAAATCACGTTATCTATTCTAAGCACTTGCTAAAAGTAATCAGCAACTAAATTATGTTTTTTCTTTTTTTGTTCAGTTAGGATTAACCTCTTGTATCATCCTTTCTGCAACTCCCTCCAAAAGCCACCATGGCGAATCCTTTTCATCGAACATATTGTTTCCTTTTTCTTTAGATGCTTTACATTATTGTAAGAAGCACAAGAAGACATGACCTCGAGAAGCAATCAAGAGGGATAATCTCATTTAACAGGAAGTGCCTTTGTGCATCTTTGCACCTTTTATATGAACTAAAAGACATTATCAGCTCCGACCCAACTTCGGCCAGTGTCCTTGGATATTCCTCTCTCCTTCATTATTTCTCTAAGCTCAGTTACACTTTCCCATTTGCCAGCTGCTGCCAAAGTATTGGATAGTGCAACATATGCCCCTGGTCTTCCAGTAGCATTCAGCTTAAAAAGCTCATTTGCAGCTAATTTTGCCATCTCTATATTACCATGGAGTCTGCAAGAACTAAGTAGAGCAGCCCACACATCTGAGTTCGGTCTCTGGGGCATCCTCATGACAAATTCCCAAGCCTGATTCACCCTTCCTGCTCGTCCTAACAAGTCAACCATGCACGCATAATGCTCCATCCCTGGCTTTACAAAGTATTCATTCTGCATTCTCTGAAAGATCTCCCAGCCCTTGTCTACGAGTCCAGCATGTGCACAAGCTGAGAGAGCACTAAGGCATGTCACGTAATTGGGTACAATGCCATATTCTTTTTGCATCTTTCCAAATAGCTCAAGTGCTTCATCAGGAAACCCATTCTTCCCATATCCATCAATCATAGATGTCCATGAAAAAACATTCTTCACACGCATGTGGTAAAAAACACTTTGAGCATCTGAGACTCTTCCACACTTTGAATACATGTCTATAAGAGCACTTCCCAGTTTTATGTCAGCATAAAATGGAGTCTTCATAAGCTGACTTTGTACTTGTTGCCCAATTTCGAATGCGGCAATCATGGAACAAGCACCAATTACACTAGCAAATGTAGAAACATTTGGCCTAAAGTTCAACCTTTGCATATCAATGTAAACTTCAAGAGATCTCGCAGCATATTCAGATGTCTTACTGTAGCCTTCTATCATCGCATTAAATACTACCACATCCTTGTCCAAAGTTTTCTGAAATATACATTCAGCATCTTCGAAAGACCCTTGATTCATGTAACCAGATATGAGGGATGTTGAACATACCACGTTCTTCTCTGACATCACATCAAACACAGTCCTCGCGTAAGCAACCCTCCCATTCTTAACATAAGAGTCAATTAGTGCAGTACAAAGAACTTCATCTCTCTCAACATCAGTTTTGAGGATCTGGGTATGCACCTTTCTACCTAGATCACCAAGCAACGCAACGTTACACCCAGAGGTAGACGCCTTTAAAATCATCGAAAAAGTAAACCCATCAGGCTTCTGACCTGACACTAAAAGCCTATGCACCAAACCAAGAGACTCTTCAACTTGGCATTGTTTGATATAGCCACTAATCATATAGTTATATGCAGATAAAGTTCTGTCCCGCAAATCATCAAACACATGGCGTGCATATCTCAAACAGTTGCATTTCAGGTACAAAATAAGTAGCTTGATGGAAATATTGGTGTTTGGAACAAACCCAGATTTCAGAATGCGGGAATGGATCTTTTGGCCGTAGGTAGGAGTCTCCGAATTAATATAATACTGCAGAGCATAGGATAATGAAGTAGAGGGAGAACCAAAGTCATGGCTTTGTGGAAATGGTCGATTGGGTGAGATGAGCGAAGTGCAGAAGGCACGTGACGAGAAGAAGAGTCTGAATATTCCATTGTTCATCCTCTCATTGACATCCTCAGAACCAAGATAACCAAACTCTGCGTCGAAAATTTAAAGCAAACTATATCTAGTTATTCACAGGTTCATGTAAGATCAATTTGCAATAGTTTTCTTCTAAAACTGTTTTTTTTTTTTTTCCAGAAGTAAAAACAAAAGAGGGAGAGGGAAATTTCAACTAAAGAGAAGAGAGAAAAAATTATAGAGGATGGAGAGTGAAAAGAGAGGAAACTCTCACTTAAAAAAAAAGTTTATGAACTAAAAGAAAAGAAAAAATGGCTACAAGAATAAAAAAATAATTTGTTATTAAAATTTAAATTGAATATAATTTATTTAATATTAAAGAATTCAATGTTTTTTTTATTCCATATGTATGATATGATTGGAGTTTAGTGTTAGGGAAATTGCCCTACCTCCTTTGATATTCTATTAAATAATACTAATATATTTTAGATATTTAATAAAATAATATTTACTTTTCTTTAACAGATAATTTCATATATTTTTAAGAAATAATATTAATTTTTATGAATTATAATTTATGAGATGATTGTTTATTTTAAAATTATAAAAACATTGAGTATCATTTAGTATATCTTCAATGATAAGTGCAAATTTCCTTCCAATTATACAAATTGTTCTGAGAAAACTTCTAATGTCCCTTTTTTTAGTGATTTCATCTTTTTAAACATAATGCAATATCATATTATTTACCCCAGAAAATAATTATACAACTAATACCGTAAATTTTTAAAATGTTATTATACTAATATTTGAAAATTTATTACCAAGACATAAAATTTTAATATTAATATTGAAACTTGAACTTAGAATCTTATATGAAATATTTTAAAATTTCACAACCTTACTGATAGTAGGGGGTACAATATCTTATTCAGTAGATGAAAAATCTAATTTTCAAAACAATATTTCATGACCAAACCTTTAAGAATTAATATACTGATGTTTTACATTTTTAAATAAATAGTTTAATGAAAAAATAAAAATTAAATACTGATTCGTGTAATTTTAAAATTTTGGACCCTGTTAATTTTTATGCAGAAATTTGTTTATAAGATTTTGATACCAAGACTTGTTTCATTTCTACTTTTAAATATTATGTTGAACTTTTAAATACAATTAAACAAGGTTGGTGGGATGAGGGAGGTGAGTAAGGTGCACAAATATTGAACAATTTGAAAACGTGAAATGAAAATAAAAAAAATGAAAGATAATTACTTTAATTGTTTATGCTTTTTGTTTTTATATATTTATTTTTGAAATAATTTTTAAACCTTAATTTTGAGAAAAAATATTGTTGAGTGGCATGCAAAATATATAAAAAAAGTAATAAAAACTTTTAAAGATTCTATTGGAGTTTGGAGACTATTCAGATTTGATCTAATATTACAATAACTTCTGTATGAATTTTTAACATGACCATGAATATAAGATTTACTGCAGAATTAATTTTAGTAGAATAAAAATTATAACAATAAAATTGGGCAGTATTCATAGGCACAGGAGTTTGTGTTGATTGAGAAAACCAACAACGTACTTATAAGCAATCTCTTTACAAGTTAAATCGATTATTATTATCTATTAAACTTTATTAAAATTTATGAATAAAAGTCATTTAATAAAAATAATCTAAAAAATATGATTTTCAATGTATTCTAAAAACTTATTTCAACATAGTACAGACAAAAAATATATTTCTAAAATTTATCAAATTATAACATACAATTACAACTTTTTAATATTTCATTAGTAATATCTACCATAAGATTTGTTAAACCCCAATCTGTATGGTTTAGATAGCGGCACGCCATACAAATACCTTACAAGTATGGATCACTTTCTTTTGTTGAAAAAAACTCAATGACAAACCCCAGCAACTATAACAAAGGAATGGCGCTACACAAATTTTGATGGAAGAATCCAAACAAAATGCATTTAGTATTTCTAAGGTCTAAGCACAAGCATAGTAATATTGGTGTTTCATTTACATTAGGTTCCTAATAACTGGGAAAAAAAATGATTGAAATGTAAGAAATGTTACAACAGGAAGATGGATGTTCAATTTAGTTACTGGTCAATTGCCATTGCTTCCGCCCCACTTGTGTCCTCCAGCCCGTTCTTAAGCTCCTCCGTTGCCATTCTCATCTCCTCAACAAGGCTCTTCTGCTCTTCCTCAATTGTGTTTTGCAACTCATCCACCTGCAATTAGGATGGGAAGCAGAATAAATATTATCATCAACATTCAACATAGGCGATGAAGATAATAACAGACAATCAACAGCCTTATGTCAATTTACAATTAACACTTACAGATATTAAACAAGATATTTCAGCTGCCTAATTTCTGAAATCGTGATGGTTATCATTCATAAGAATATACGCTATGAAACACAGAACATACTGAAGAACAAGGTCCACGTGACATGGGAAATTGTAGACTAATAGAAATTACACAATATGTGGAGTTATCCTTGAACCAAAGAGCCTCGCAGAAACTCTACAGACTCTTTAAAATTCAAGTGCTTTAGTTTGCAATGCTGACAAAGGTTAGCACTTATCATAACAGAGATATAAATCTTTCAATCCAAAAGTCAATAAATAAAAACAAGAAAAACAACTCTGTTAGGAAGCTAATGGCTACACTAATCTAAAATGGTTAAAATACATCATTTAAACAATAGAAAAGATAAAAGATGATCATTGAAATTTTACATTGCTTTTATAATATGTAAGGATGAATACACTTTTATAACCTAAAAGATATCAACAACTGAGTAATGCCTCTACTAATATCATCGTCTAACTTTAGGCAATTTAAAACATGAACAAATAATATTATAAATAATACTCTATCTTATATCCTATAAAATCTTTTAACCATGTAATTTTCTTTCCCCATCTTATCAAACACAAAATTACCAAAAGGAATCAAGGATGAGAATGAGATATTGGAACTCTTTTTCAAAGTGAAGCATAAGGGTCATTTTGGAGAAAATCACACGGTCACAATTTAATACTGAAGCAATTAGGGAATTGAAACACTTTCACACTGAAGTCCCAAGAGAAAAATACTGCAGAATGATTTCCTTATAATCACATTTTACAACACTAACTTCTCAAGTTTCAAAGCAATTTTACATGATGAATTTTAACATTACAACTTTTTCCAGTCCAGAGCCACTAATATATTTATACGATTATACAATTTTCGTCCCATTCACCAATGTAAATGTTGCTTGCCCCAATCAAATAACCCTAAATATAGTTTTATAAGTTCAAATTACCCCTTTCAAATGTATTTTCAAACCTTGCATTGTCTTGTTTCTCTTTACTTTTCTAAGTTCTAAGGCACACAAATGAGTTCCATGTTTTAGTCTTCAGACTATCATGTCACAACTTCTACTTTTGTTACAGACTGAAAATCAAACAGAGACACAATGGTTTCACCAGATGCCAGAGAATACTACCTTCTCTGTCTACCCTAACTCCCCCGCCACCCAATCCCCACCTCCTCACACCCTCCTTCTTTGACAAATCTTCATCAATTATTCCTTCTTTGCTCTCATGTTGGCAGCTGTCAATTTGCAAACCAGCTCATCTGTCTTTCCCCAATTATCCATTACCAAACCAGCTCATAAACCTTTCCTATTTCAGACCTCCTTCTGTATACATGTCTTAAAGGTGAGCTCAAGGGCATTTCTTATCACACATGCTTTGTTAATTTTTCAGTTTACATAATGTTCTCTATATCAGTTTTCGCATCCTTTTTGCTACTTCCTTTTCTCTTCACTTTCATGTTTCTTCATCCACTTACAAGAGGAGCTCCATCTCTAAAAATAGTTAGACCCAAATTAAAAGAGCTACACCTTTACACACCCGCTTTTCACCACAAAAAAGGAAAAAACAAGCAATGTCTAAGATACCATTTGCAAGTTGTAAGTATAAGATGACAATTGAATTGTATGAAGCAAATACATTTTAAGTGTGGGTGTAGTTTTTCATATACATCAGTGGTTGCTTCTAAATATTATTAACATTTGAATGAAAATCTAAGTAATAGACAAATCTACAGTGTGCTCCATTTTCAAAACAGCATGTTATCCACTAAGTTCTATTCTATACTTGCAACACAACTACGATCCCTTTTCATTATAAGCACACTATTCATATCATCGGTAGCTTTCTTCAGCCCTAATTTGTCAGGATCAAGTATCTACATCAAAACTTCACAACAATCACATATGATAGCAGCATAAGCATAAAGCAAATTTCACAATTACACGTACCACATGTAACAACAATGCAAATTGCTTCTTCCTGAGCTCCAACAACCTCGCACCAGCCGTGTTCTCCGCGTCCAGAGACGCAATTTCCTTCTCTAACTCCGAAATAACCTTCATTGTCTCTGACCTCGGCGGCTGCAGCGCAATCAACTTCCTAATAGCCTCGCACTCCTCCTTGTGCCGCCTCTCAACCTTGCTCTCCTCGAGCTGCTTCTTGAGATCCTCAATGTCGGCCTGCGCCTGCAGGATCTGGCGATTCATCTCCTCCTTTAACTCGTTGAAATTTTCCTTTTCCCTTACATTGGCCTCCACAATCGCCTTGCTCTTCAGAAGCGGAATCTCGAAGGTCGTCATCTCCTGCAAGAAGGCTCTGGCGAGTTTTTCGCAGTCGTTGTAGTTGTCTTCATCTTTATCAACCTCGGAGACGAACGAGGTAAACTTCTTCTGGAGCTTCTTCAAGGGAGGGTCGCCCCTGGTGGTCGTGGTGCGCGTGAGAAGACGGTGTTTGATGATTACGTCATCTTCCGCCGGACCAAACGCGCAGTTCGCTGCCACGGCCTCGCCCCGCGCCGAAACCTTCCTCGTCTTTCCCAGCATCGTGATCACGCAATCACTGTACCGATTATTCGTTAGAATTGAGCCGAATTTAGAGAAATTTAAAATAAATTAAGTTGAATTAAATAAATGCGCGTGAATTGAACGCTATGCTGATGGAGAATTTTTTTTTTTTTTTCTGCATAAGCAAAAATGAGGGAACGAAGAAAAATAAGTAAAGAACGTTAGAATGAACCTTTTTGGGTGCGCGGTGGTGTTCGACCCCTTAGTTGCGAGGAACAGTGAGAGCGGTTTAGTTCTGCTTCGAGTGCGGAGAAGGAAAGGGCCATATGTTTACTTTGTGATCGGCCCAATTGTTCACTTAGCCCAGCGTATTGATTGGGCTGCATTCAACAAGGCACCAAACACGAATTATTATTATAGTAGGACTCTTATGCAAATAGGGTAGGGTCCAGCTGGCACATTCATTTCGATGAGATTTTAATCATTAAATTAATTTTGTTGAAGATACTACATTACATGCTTACATTTAAAAGAATATGCACTTAGACGTGGTATTTGCTTGTCTGCTTTTGTTGTTCAAAATAAAATGACATATATAATTAACGAATTGAAAATTATAATTAATATGATTTTTCTAAACATTATCATAGAAGTTAACAAACTTTTTTCTAAAATCATAGTAATTTGTATTTGTTCCGAGTTTAGGGTAGAGTGGATTAAGGAATCGGTGATAAAAAAAACATTATAAAACTCTCGTTAGATTAATGTTTTAGTGGCGATGAACTTAATAATTTTGATTAATGTTTTATATTTTCCTTCTTTTCTATATAATGTAAATAATACTGAAAAGAATGTAGTGCAACCTAATTTTTCATATATAATTACTTGATAATCTTTTTATAATATAATAATATTTTTATATGTTATATTTTATTATTATATTGTTATGTGAGGATCCTAAAATATTTTTTACGAAATTTGGGTTACATGCAAGAACTCAGGCAGCAAAATTACCAACAAATTCAAAGATGAGGTGAGCATCTGGTTTGATTCTGGCAAGAAGAAGAGATTAAAGTTGCAGCTCCATTTCCTACCAACAAGTCTTTTTAATGATAGAATAGAAAGAGTATAATGATATATGTAATATTTCCCTTCACCAGTTAATGAATTTAAATAAATAGCTGTATTTTCTTCTATAGCTTACCTAACACCAAGCTCACCCAATTTTCTTGGTTTGAGTAATTTTATGTCAACCAATCATATGAAGTCCTTTACCAATTTGAACACAACCAAATAAAACTTGTAACAGTTTTATGGATGCCACAAAACACTGTTTTTCCAAGCTCCCAAATTACAGGTCAGTCGCTGTGAAAGATCTTGAAAATGTCTCCTGCAAATTCGTCCACCATAAATTCTGAAACCCAAATATTTATCTGGCTTGTCCATGATCCTAATTTGGGTAGTATTCTTATTGAACCCAGAAAATGAGCACTCTTGTTGAATCATGTACCCAATCTCTACACACATAAGACAAAAGAAGACAGGGACAAACAGGATCTCTTTGTCTAAGATCTCCAACTGGGGTAAATACGTTAGTTGTGTTTAGATGCATGTTTTTTTTTTTGCTACCACGTGAAAACCTATCACATTTGATGGTTAGTTTTTATAAATAATTTTAACTCTTCATCTCTAATAATTTTTCTTCTTCTGATTATGTCTTTTTTATTTGTAGAACTCAAATACAAATTCTTATTTTAAATATCCAAACTTAATTCAACTCAAACCGCTTTTCTTAATTTTTTTTTTAGTGAGAGCAAAATACACGACTTTATTAATACTAATACAAATTATTAAACTGATTAATATTAACTAATAAAATCATATATTTTAACTTTAGTTTAAAATATTTATATACTTAAATAGTTAAAACAATTATTGCATCTATTGACAATATTCATAATTAAAAATAATTATGGGTCTAACCAAATATGTCTCGTATTTTCAATAACTCGATAAATATTTCATTATTATACCTAGATAAATTAATAATATAAAATAAATTTGACACTTACTGTTTTAAAATTAATAGTACATTTCTTTTAAGAAAATTATTAAAAAGACACTCAAAAGTTTCTACACTCCACTGACATAATTTTTTAAATATTATTTTTCGGACTAACATTACATAATAAATAAAAAATTGTTTTCTCCGAAGGAAAATAAAAATATATGGCATGAAAGATATAATAAAATGTTATGAGAAGATTTAAAATAAAATTACTGTGTACCTCTCAGTGCTGGAGCCCCATCTGTCCCTGTCGCTCGCCGCCCCTGGTAGTGTCTCTGTCAGCACATGCCTTTTGAGTGCAATGCAATGAATTGGGTGCATTTAAATATTTGCAGCCTTTTCCCACCCAAACCTAAAAACCATTGTCAGCTTTATTTAATCCCATATGCATCAACATCGTAGCACCCCAGACGTAATCCGATCTGCGTTCTCCACTCGCCACTCCTTTCTTCTTCACCTGCACCCACCAAGCCACTCCTTTCCCCTAACCGAAAAACATGACAAGGCCAAAGATTTACCTCTTCGGTGATTCAATCACTGAATCCTCTTTCTCACTAGGTGGATGGGGTGCTTCTCTCGCTCACCATTTCTCTCGCACGGTATTCCTTCTACCTTAACAAACCGTGTTGTTTCGTTCTCTTCTGTCGGTTTGACAGTTTCAAGGTAAAGTTTATAGTTTTTTGCAAATGGGGTTGGTTTTGGTTCAGGCTGATGTGGTGCTGAGAGGATACAGCGGATACAACACTCGGTGGGCGTTGAAGGTGTTGGAGAGAGTTTTCCCTGCGTCACAGGGCGTTGACGGTGGAACCGCAAAAGCTCCACTTGCTTTGACTGTTTTCTTTGGGGCCAACGATGCGTGCCTTCCAGATAGATGTTCTGCTTTTCAGCACGTGCCTCTCCAAGAATATAAGCGGAACCTTCACTCCATTGTTTCCTTCTTCAAGGTAAATTAGCCTCTGTTGCAGGTAGCAAGTGTTTTAGATTAAATGATTAGAGAAAAGTTGTAGGGTGTTGAAACCCAGAAAAGGGTCACTGACACAGTGACAGTGTTTTTAAGAGATGTGAATTTTTATTTTTTTTATTTCAGTTTAGAGTATTGACTCTTGCGGATTTTTAAGCGTGATTTGGTTGTGTATGTTGCATGTCAGGGAAGGGGTTCATTATTTGTGGTTGGTGGGGTAGAGTGTTATGATGATTTTGTTTGTCTGGGGTGGTCAAATGTATATATGGTTGTGTTGTGGGGTTTCAGAATTGAATTGTAGAATTGAGAATTGAGAAAAGAGATGTGGTTTCAGCTAACACACGTGCGTGGCCGTGGGTATGGGAAGTGTGTTTGGTTTTGTTTGCCACTTGACAATGTCACGCTGTCAAAAGGGACCCTCAAAGTTTGCTTTTTTATGTATTTTTTTTTCTCCCATGTAAGTGGAGTTTGCACGAAATGTTTGTGTAAAGGTCCACCTTCTCATTGGTTTTCTTTTGGGGAAACTGGGAAAGGTTAGTTGGAGGGAGCCTACAGTTGTTTTGGCGACCTAAACCCTTTTGTGTCTTCTTTCTCGTGTCTTTCTTTGGCTCCCATGCAATTATATTAATTTGCTTGATCGACTATGAGCTGTTAGGTTTAAATGTTGATAGGATCACGTGCAAGAACCACATTTAGGACTGCAAGAATTTGGTGCCTCTCCTTAAGGACTAAGACATCGTCTCTTACCAAAAACTAGTTTATACCAGTGGTTTCACACTTCAGTCTTTTAATTAATAATTTATGATTTGGATATGGAATCGTGACTAGAGGTAATACTTTATTTTAAAATAGGTAGATTGGGTGAAAGAAAGATTAGTTAAGTTATTAAAAAATCACATCATGTATGTTTCTAACACAATTGATCATTTGTTTTAACTTATAAAAAAAAGTTGATCAAATAAGATTATATGTTTTATGAAATTTGGTTAAAACATATGATTGTTTCTCTTTCTTAGATATTACCTGCTCCCACATTCCATGAGGTTATTGACCCTTGCGCGGCCCTCGTGTCTAATGAATGCTTACACCCGTGGTATGATATGAGTATTTTTAGTTCATTGGGAGCATACACATGTACAATGAATGTATGGACTATATTCATTGGCAAAAGTTTGAAAGGATGTTGTTGAGAAAAGTAGATGCTAATAGTTAGCTATGGAGTACAAGTAATAAGAATTTAATTCCCTTAAAGTGATAAGATGTGTAGATGTGTAAAGCAATAAACTAAGGATGTATTTGTCCTTGCCTTCACATTGAATCAAATTCAAATTATAAGGGGTATTTTAATTCATTTTACGTGTGAAAATGCCTTTATAAGTTTTTTGCTTTATGCACATCTCACTTTAAATCAACAAAATATAAATACGTTATAATTGTATCTTAAAATCTTCTTAAGTTCACCTAGAGTCTATGAAGTATAGATTAAAAATATGAGGCATGAGTATGCCTACATAATATTTTCTTCTAGATATAAATAAATAAACTAAAAGAAATTTAAAATTATATAACAGATATGCATATAAACTCAAAAGATATTTAATTTCTTTGACGATTATGTGATCCAGGGCATTCAGAAATCTTGTGTGTGCCAAAGCTCAAAGATAAGTTATTCTTTTTTACTTAAACCAAACATGGACGTTTGCTACTATCTTCTGGGCTTTACCACTGTTTCATTTTCTATACTTGTCTGACTCCAATGCACTTTCTTGTTATCCATTACTTTCACTTTGGGTGAAAGTTATCATAAAAGACAAAACCCAAAATTACGTCAAAAGAAGCTTGCCTCAATTTTTGTCTATATCATATATAGCTTTTTCTAGACCAGGTAGATTAGAACCACCTAATACATTTAAATTCAATGTTGGGAACATGAATACATGTGCCTGTTCCATAAATACATATCTGTTTCACCATGTACATGTTAAAATTATATATTGCAAGTTTTCCTTTGAAATGCAGAAGCTATGGCCCACAACTCTTGTTCTCCTCATAACACCTCCTCCAATTGATGAGGAAGCACGTTGTAGGTACTGTTTTATTGACCCTTTGTCCCTCACATTGTCACTCATTATATTAGATTTACTCAGTTTATATTGTTTAATTAGAGATACAGTTCAATAGAGGTTAAACCAGAATAAATTTATTTTTATAAATCTATTGTAGACACCCGTATGTAGAAAATCCACAGGGTCTTCCTGAAAGGACAAATAACGCAGCTGGCGAGTATGCTAAAGCATGCATTGCTGTGGCTGGAGAATTTGGAATACCTGTGGTTGATATATGGAACAAAATGCAACAGCACCCTGAGTGGGAAACATATTATCTAAGGTCTCAAAAGTTTTACCTTTGTATATTTTTCTCTTGCATCATTGTTGAGTCTTTATATATCTTGCAATTTTGACAATAGTCTCCACTTAAATTTTTGAAATTCTGACAAACTGATGGCTTATCTAATGTGCTTTGAATTTTCATTACAGCATAACACAAATCTCTAATAGAGTAATTAGGTTTTCATTGCTGACTTGGTTTTCCAAATTTATATGCACCATATATGGTTAAGCCATAACTGTCAATTTCGTAGAGTTTAAAGGATTTCATTATCTTTTGAGAATCTGGAAGAATGTGATTATTTCTCAATCTTTTTTTTTGTTTTCTACTATTATGAATCGAAGAGCGATGTGATTATATCTTTGATTTTAGTATGAATTTATGATTTTGGTGAGTGAAATGCAGTGATGGTTTGCATCTCACTGAAAGTGGCAATCAAGTTGTTTTTGAGGAAGTAATCACAAAGCTGAGAGACGAAGGCTTGAGTCTGGAATCTATACCAGTTGATCTCCCACTTATTAATGATATTGATCCTAAGGACCCCCTGAAGGCCTTTCTGCATTAAGAGAATGATGCATTACAAAAGGGTGTATCTTTTTGGGGTTATGGTGCTTTTATCGTTATGGAAACATATGTTAATGTAGTATTACCCCTTAGTATTTTGATCGTCCTTTTGTTGTAGTTATTCTCTGTGGAAAACAATATGTTGGGTAATTTGTACTATTGGCTTGTCAAATGTCTTTTTTTAGTGAGTAAAGGAGTTTGTCATTTTCTTCTCGGCTGGAATGTGAATGAACTAATATATAAGTGTTTGTATAAATGGTAGATACATTCTAGCCCCCCTCAGAATTGACATGAAATAGAACCATTTGGAAATGATCATGGATCATAGGGATGGTAAAATGAGTAGGCTTGGTTGATAGTTTTTTTTATAGTCCGCAGGGTGTAAGAATAACTTGCCTTTCAGTGTTTCAACCAAAAGAATAATCACCATACAAATAGAAAGCGACGCCTTCTCCTGTCATCAACACATTCCATCAAATTTCATAAACTTATGATTTAATATTAAATATTTATCTTAAAAAATAGATAAAAATAAATCAATTAATAAATTTTATATAAATTGGAAATAAATTTATGGTATTATGCACATTTATAATTTATTTTATTTTTATAAAAATTTATAAGCAATTTTTAAATTGTAAAAATTATTTAAAACAAACTAAAGTCTAATTACCTTTTATATGCTTTTATATAATAAATTAAGAGTGTATTTCAACTGGAAAAAGTGATTAACAATATTATGATAAAATAAAATTATAAATTATTAAAAAACAGTTTTTATACAGTAAATTGAAAATCTATTTCAATTGAAAATGTTTATATCTCCATCAATAGCTTTTAATAGCTCCAATAATAACTCATTGTTTGTGGAATTACTTGGAAATTAAAATGTATAATAATTTCAACAATAACTCCATATATATGCCACTTGCAATTAAGATTATAATAGCCTTATATTTATTATCATTATTTATAAAATTAATGTTAGAATTTGCTCGGATGGTTTTTAATAATTTCATTTGGGTATATTTTTAGGTGGATTATTTTCTTCATTAATCAAATAAAATAATTAATTATTTGATAAAAAAATATTTTAATAATTATGATTTAGGTACAAGTATTATTTCTGCATAAATTTGTAAATATGAAATCAAATTCTAAATATGTTTTTTTTTAAATAATATCTAATAAATAAAAATTTAATTTTCTTTTATATAACTAGAAATGAACTCGTCAAAAGAGTTTTCAATTGCACTGGTAAAAGTGAATATAGAGCATACAGATAATCCTTCCCTTTCTTATTAGCTAAAAAAATACCACACTATTTCTTTAATTTATTTTTAAATTTTGTCTTACTATATTAATATTAATTTAATTTTTTAAAATAAATATAATTCTTTCCACAATTATTAAATATTCTAAAAAAAATCATACAATATTAATGTGACACCGATCGCGATAAATATTAATCACTTATTATATTATTGGTGATATATATAGATACGTCGGTACTTAACAATTTTTATATTAAATATCTTAACCGATGCAATGATGTTTGTTTACTTAAAAACTTTAAAATAAATTGAATAAAATAAAAACTAACATAAAAAAAAGTCTAACTTATGTACCTAAGAGAATAATATTCAGGTATAAATGAAGAAATTATATCATTTAATATCTGTTAGAGGTATATTATTTTGATTAAGTAATAATAAATGAAATAATATAGTTAATTATTTGATTATAAAAATTTTAATATAAAATAAAATTAAAATGTGTATAATTTATTATTTAAAATATTATAGAGAGGCTTATAATTTATATGTATATTTTTTTATTATATATATTTTTATATTAGCATTGAAATATATTTATAGGAATATCTCTTTTTGAACCTCTCAAAGTAATCAATTGTGATTTTTCTTTAATGTTTTAGTTGATCCAATTGGTGAAAGATATAATGGACATTGTGAATGTGTGAGGCTTACTTTCCAGTAATTATTTTTTTTCCTTAAAGTCACTTAATTGCATGGAGGCGGTGGAACTCAACAGTGTACGGATTCATTCGCTGAATTGAAACCAATCAAATTCATGCATATGACTGCACATGCCTCCTCTGTGACAGTGCATCACCTCCTACTGAGTACTTACCATATTGAAATAAGGGGTAAAAGAAGGAGGTTCCTTATTCTCTGTGGTTGCTATCCAATGAAAAGATAAAAGAAATTGTAATTGCTGAAAAGCTTCATAATTCTAAATCAATTGGTTTAGAAAAAAGATCATAGCTTCATTACACATATGGCAAAAGCACTAAATATGTTTTGGCCCCTAGCTCTTCCGTCTAGTCAACATGGTGTGTCTTGTGTGTGTGGCTTAATTTTTTTTGTGTATAACCGTGCGTGATAAACTGAAATCACATGCACCTCTAAAATATCCATCATAAATGGGTTAATTTGTTATAATTATAATGGGAGGTAGAACTTGATCCACAGAATAGGTTTGACGGGATAGTCTTTTATAATTAAAAAAATAATAATTTATTTTTAAAATTAAATTTAATAATAAAATTATTATTTATTTATTAATAATTCAAAAAATATATATATATATATATATATTATTTCAATTTAAGAATATAAATCAATATATTGTTTTAAAAAATTATAATTTAAAACAATAATAAAATTTATATAATATATATATATATATATATAAAACATTAAAATTTATATTTTTTATATTAAAAAATTTAAATACCTATATCTTTTTTATTTATTTGATAAAACTTTATATTATTCTCGTTTGAGTAATTCTTATACCTTTAATTCAAGTGATAAGAATAAAAATAATAAGTGCTTAAGATTAATAAGAAAAACATGAAAAAGAAGATTGTGTATCAGTAAGTAGAATATTTTTTATGAAAGTTAAATTTTTAAATGTAGGTTGACCATCTCATCTCACAAATTAACTCAATAAAACGACGAATTAACAGAACCAACTAAAATAGACTAACGAACTAAAAACACTACCCCTACTTGTCCTATTATAACAAACTAATGTACTGAAACACTAAACCTCACTCATTTTACCATCTTAATCGCAGCTGCTCTTCAGTGTAACAAAATCTCTCTATAAGGACTTGTTTATTACCATTCTAAGGTGGAAGTCCTTTGGAGTGTACTTGGACTAGGTAACTATCACATAATTAAATGCTTGCATTGTCAAAAAGATCACTATTAGCATCCCACGTGCATCACGCCATCATCTTCATCTTTCTTATGCTAATGTGCCAAACTAATTTGCTTTGCACATATCATCACCCATCACTCTGCCACGCACCATTACAAACAACTTTTTTTATTTTTCCTTTTCGACAAAAGTTCTTTTTGTCGTTTCACATGTTTGACTCGGCGCTTTCTCCATTCATTTGCCTTTTGTTGTTTCTGTCGTCATCTTCTTAATTAACACCGTCACTTCTTCACCCATTTTCTTCGGATGCAAAATAGGTATAATAAATTATCCTTATTAATATTTCAACATATTATAATTATAGACTTAGGACTTTGAATATACTCTTTTAACCAAGCCTTTAGGATGAAAGAATATTTTTTATAAAGTAATTCTTGATTTAAGATAATAATTACAGATAAGTTAAATTTTAACCTCATCTTATGCTAAAGTTTCAACTTAAATATAATTAATAATATATAGAGTGATGAAAGTCTTACATCATTTATTTTATTATATATATGATATGGTTTACATTTCTTCAAGACTATTTTATATATTAATAAGTGATTTTATGTTATAATCCTAATATAGTCTAACAAGCATTTGGGATTTTCAACCAACCTTAATTTTATTTTTAGATATTAAAATAGAATAATTTTAATTTGTTAAATTTAATTATATTAATTGCACTACGTCAGTGTTTGGTCATAATTATATCCAACAGTTAATTAAAGAAAAATTACGGTTCTTATATATATATATATATATATATATATATATATTACTAATTAAGTTTACGTTTGATCCTAATAATTTAAATTCAATGAATTTAATTTTTTTAAATTTTAAAATATGTATATTTTTTTGTTTATGTCTAAACTCAGTATTAATAATAAGTTGTATTATCAAAGTTGATAAAAATATTTTATATTTAAATTTAACATTTAATAATATTTTTTATAGTTATAGAATTGATAAAATTACTAAATTTTCAAATTAGTATAAATTTAAGACTAATTATTAGTTTTCATGACCAAAATAAAATTTGATCAAAAGTAAAAAGATAAAAAAAACATATGTTAATCCATCTAATTAAATTAGTTAACATGACCAAAATATACCGGACATTTATACATTCTTTGCATTTAGATTTTAAAGTGAATCATTGTGTCTCGAAATAATAAGAGAGAGGTATTAATTAAGAATGAATTAAAGACTTTAAATATTGAATGAAATCAAGATTATTGTATATGAGAGGAATTTAATTAACTAAAATTGTAACATAGAATAGAAACCAGAATTATACATTCACAAGTACTTTGAAAGACTAAAAATATAGTTATTTAAAAAAGTCATACACCAAAATACACCCATAATTTATTACACAAATTGTGTATAGCAAAACTTCAATTATTAAATATGCAGAGCAACAGTAAGATCTGTCTGACTCAACATGTTGCAAGGCAAACATTGAGACAATCCTCCAGTCACTAAACTCCTAGACTTGGTCAATGATGCTTTGGGTCTGGGCCTTCAGGGGCAAGTCTTCCAGGCTTACGTGGGCTTTCTTCAAATTCCGAGAACATGAGCCTCACACTACCACGGGCCTGGGCTCCGTAGCTTGAATGTTGGGTTGGAAACCTCTTGTAAGTAGATGGAGGAGATTGAAGAGGACGAGAATCACACCTGGATAACAAGAGAAACAGAAACATAAGGCAGAAGAAGGAGGGTTTGAATTTGAACATTGTGAAGCGATGTGTTGATGAGATGTTGACGGAATGAAAGAAGAATGTGCGTATATATAGAGCGAGAAAGAGTGAAAGAAGATTAGAAGGTGTGAGAGAAATGAAGAGTTTGTGTAAGAATATTTTAGTGGGAGTTGAGGAAAATTCCAAGTTAGTGAGACTGATCTAAAATAATTTTGTTGCGTTGCCCTCCAGTGAAGATGGCGTTTGGTAGTTTGATGACTGGGTGAATACACTAGGACACAAGACGACACATAAAGCCAAATCCATGTTCTATTCTTCACTTGTTCATTCCTTCTGCTGACCCCTGCAGAGTTCTAAAAAATTCCTATACTTTGTCATTTATCTGCCTATCTAACTTTCTAAACATGCCTTCGGACATCATCAAAAAGCCTAGTGACTTTCATAAACCAAAGGAGGGACAGTCTCAGATATCATAAATGCATAACATCTTCTCTTGTAAAAAGACATGTATCAGATTCTTAAGTATCGTGATTTCATACAAACATAAACTCAGTCACTCTTTGTTCAACACAGAGAGTTGGTTTCAGAGAGGAAAAAATAAAATTACTCTTGATTTTATATATTATTGTATTAAAGTATATGTTATTTCATGCACGAACAAAATGTTTTCTTAATTTTGTCTTCTACCATTTAATACAACCATAACTTTATTATTTGTTTACTCCTTTTCATCATCTTTTTTAAAACCAGACATATTGAGGCATTGAAGAAAAAGGAATAATATGTTTACAGGCCCAATAAAAGCTGTTTCGATTTTTAATTAGTACTTTTTTTAATTACTTTTAGAGGGTACATGATTTGTGCCACTAAATCATTTTTAAACTATTACTTCTTTTTTTAAGTTATTAAAACTTATTTAATGGGTCTCTTCAAATCATACAAGCTAAAATAAATAATTATATTTTTTAAAAGTATAAGTTCATTTTATCAGTAGAAATTATATTTTTAAAAAATATAAAATTATTTTATAAAAAATAAATTTGGATAAATAATATTTAGAAACATGATTATTATGATTCCAAACACGAATTTTTATTTTATTTAATAAAATCTTACTTAAAAATATGATGTTAGTAGTTATTTATTTTAATTTATAGTTAAAGTTATGTTTTAAAGTATAATTTTATACTACAATTTTATTTTGAAATCAAATTTTTTTGAATTATTTTATTTTTAGAACATGTATTTCATAACACAATTTTAGCAACCGGTTGTTTATTTAATTATAATTTGAGTCATAGTACCAGATTTATCAGTTTATCCGAGAATTAAATTTAAAATAATTTATAATTATATTAGAATGCAAGTATTTTGTACTTAAATAAATAAATTCAAACTAGTCATATTATTCTAAACTTCATGTTTTTCTCACCGTTCATTTTTTACCCTATATTTTTTGCCTGACTTTCTCTATTTTTGTTTTCATCACATCACATATTATAATTATTACATTTTGTACTATTTCCCTTGTAATTTGTATTATTTCCCGCTCCATGAGAAATACTAGCATACGCATTACTTGATTGAAGTTTATAATTTTTGTAGTGACACTTTTTTATTTAATAAATTTATCTTTTGTTTTTTAATAACTTTGCCTTTAATAATTATACATTAGAAATAATTTATTAAGAAATATATTACTAATACTAATTTTGTTTTTAGCTTATCCAGTGCAAATAATATTTTTTAACAAGACTCTTTAGTACATATTTGACACTCATTCACTCTATTTTTAACTAAAAAAATTTCAGTGAAGAGGTTCTTATATGATTACAATGAATCCGTGTAAGATATAGTGTTCAATCATCTCTTTTACTGCTGTGGGGTTGGTGTGTGGTGTGTTTGGTGAAATCATGGGATGCAGCATGCTCCACGCCCCCCCCCCCCCCTCTTCTATCTTCATCTTACTCCACTCACCACTCATGCCTATGCCTCTGTGTTTGGTTCGAGACAGCGACTCCAAACCAAAACCTTAACAATAAAAGAAACACAAACATGAAAAACAATGGAACATAACAACATCACCAAACAACCACAACATCACATTAACCATGCAAAGGATCAAAACCTTAGGGCGCACTCTCATATTCCCTTCTCACACTCCCTTCCTTCACGACCACTCCCTCCCTCTCTCCCACCTAGACACCGACCCCAACCTCCACCTCACCTTCCGTTACCTCCGCGCGTACACTTCAACCGCTTCAACAACCTCCCTCGACCCCTTCCAAGTCATATCCTCCTCCCTCTCCCACGCGCTCCCCCACTTTTACCCCCTCGCCGCCACGCTACGCCGTCGCCCAACCTCCCCCAACCGCCTTGAACTCTGGTGTGCCGCTGGCCAGGGCGTTCCCCTCGTCCGCGCCGCAGCCGATTTCACTCTCCACTCCGTCCGCCACCTCGACGACCTGGCCTCGCCTCTCGCGGAGCAGTTGGTGCCCGACCCGGGACCCCAGGAGGGGCTGGAGCACCCCTGCATACTCCAGGTGACGGTCTTCGCATGCGGAGGGTTCGTCCTCGGCGCCGCCATTCACCACGCGCTGTGCGACGGCATGGGCGGCACGCTGTTCTTCAACGCGGTGGCGGAGCTGGCGCGTGGGGCCTCGCGGATGACGGTAGAGGCGGTGTGGGAGCGTGACAGGTTGATGGGTCCCAGAGACCCGCCAAGAGTGGATTCAGCGTTAATTTATGAGTTTTTGCGTTTGGAAAAAGGGTTATTGCCGTACGAAGATGGTGTTGGTGGGGTTGCTAGAGAGTGCTTTCACGTGAGGGATGCGGGCTTGGACATGTTTAAGAGGTACTTGTTGGAGCAATCTGGGTTGAACTTCACCGTTTTTGAGGCTCTTGGTGCCTACATTTGGAGGGCTAAGTAAGTATCACAATAATTTCAATTAATCTTCCAAAGTTAACAATTAGAAACTTTAGAATAGGAAATTCTTTGACTTTGACGAAAAAAAACTATTTTGACCGAGTTTAGAAGTAAGAGAGAAGAAAAAAAAAAACTATATTAAAACCATATTTGTATGCTGATTGTAATGTAAATTTAATCCTAAAAAATAACTTTTCACTCTATTTCTTTCTAAGGAAGTAAAATGGAAAAAAACTGAGATTACTTTTGCCGAATTTCATGCGAGGGAGTTTTTTTCTTTTGTTTTTAATATCCGTCTCCTTCATATTCTCTTCTGAACCGTAGAAATGGAATACTACGATCTTATTCATCTTTCTCATTTTCTTTACTATAAAAGCAAGTAATAGATTGATATTAACTAGATTTTTTTCTCTTATTCATAGTGAAAAATTAATACAAGGACAAATAACATACCTGATATAGGGTGTGATATTTCTGTTCAAGGATTAGATGCATAAGTATTCCTTTTGTCCCTCACATTCTGTTTGTTGAATTTGTCCCTTGTTTCTAATAACGTGGAGACATCTTGGGGGTGGAAAAAACAACGAAAAAGGTTGTCTTTTCAATAGACAGTGAGTTTAGAATATACCTAGTTATGTGTAGAATTGGGAACCAGTAGTAGCATTTTTAGTTTTGGTGATGATATGAAGATTGTTTCTGACCATGGTAATTGTCAAGACAGGGTGAGGGCCTCTGGAATCGAGGGTCATGAGAAGGTGAAGTTTGCATACTCAATTAACATACGGAGACTAGTAAAGCCACAACTCCCTGGTGGTTACTGGGGAAATGGTTGTGTGCCAATGTACGTAGTGGTGAGTGCCAAAGACTTGGTAGAGAAACCCGTCTGGGAAACTGCAGAGCTAATAAAAAAGAGTAAAAGTAATGTCAGTGATGAGTATGTTCGGTCATACATAGATTATCAGGAGCTGCATTATGGTGATGGGGTCACAGCAGGAAGAGAGGTGAGTGGGTTCACTGATTGGAGGCATTTGGGGCATTCAAGTGTGGACTTTGGGTGGGGAGGCCCAGTTACTGTTTTGCCCCTTGGAAGGAACCTGCTTGGGAGTGTTGAGCCTTGCTTCTTTCTGCCTTATTCAACTACCTCTGCTCATCAGAAGGAGGGCTTCAAGGTTTTGGTGAATCTGAGACACTCTGCATTGCCTGCTTTCAGACAAGACATGCAAGTGTTCTCCAGTAGCCAAGACCAGTGGCCAAGTCACATATAGATACATGGTGTTCACAAGTCAAGAGGATACATTTTGCCATTGGTTAGATCAGGGCACCTTAATATAATAAAAATGATTTTTTTGTTGAAAAGTGTTTTTTTTTTTTTAACTATTAAAGCTTGATTTTTCTCTTTTCTCATGGACTCAGTGCCAGGACACATCTATACTGCCTAAGTTGGACGCATTTTTTTTTTTAAATCTGATAATAATATTTTTTTTAAGCTATTAAAAAAAAAAACAAGTTCTTTTCATAAAAAAATACGAGTCTAATAAGTCTTTTATTATTTGAGTAAAACTTGCAAGATGTTTTAAAATTGATAAAATATAATAGGATTCATGAAAGAAGATTCTTCTAAAACTTTTTTTCTTGTTCTAAAATAAATAATTACTTCAAATGTTAAATTAATTAAAAAATAGTGATTATATTACGTACACATACATAATTATTAATATGTTCATACCGATAACAACTGGATTAATTATTTTATTTTTGTTTAGTTTAAAAGAGTCAAATCTAAAAAATAAAACAAAGTTTCATTAACCGTTGCAATTATATATATGATTAGAAATGAGTTCTGATCATGTTTAAGTATTGGATTGAAAAAAAAACCCATTTGGTTCAAAATTTGAGGATTTGAAAATATATATCGTCATCTCACACTTACAAATATCGAATTCATAATTAAACAGTATGTTCATTTGTTACATTACTTAATTTATTATTGAGTTAAGTATGGGTTTTATTTGCATGTATTTAATTAATACCTTTATCCACCGAACTCAATTTCAAGGACAGGTTTCTCATGGCCTTAAAATGAAGGAAACTATAAATGAAGCTATCGATCTTAGAAAAAGAAAAAAAAATGATGCAAATAACGAAATATTAAAATTAGTCTCAAACTTTCTTCTTTATCATCATCACCCATTTTAGTAATTTCCGTATCATCTACGCCATTTAAATTTAGTTATTGTTTTCCTCGGGTTGCGTTCGGGTAAACGGATTCGGGTTCAAACTATAGGCAACTAAGAACGCCACGTAATATATATTATTACGTAATTATATTTTTTTAGTAAAAAAAAAGGAAGGCCACGTAATTCCGGTGCTTTTGTCGCAAGAAGAGTTAGTGAAATGATCACACAAATTAATTATTTTTAATATTATTCTAGTTAAAATATTCTGATATTTTACTTTGTTCTGATTAACTAAAAATTTATTTATTTAAATTTTAAATTTTTATTAAATTATTACAAATCGGATTTCATTTTAATGAATTCGAATTCTGATCGTTATCTGTATTAATGGTTTGATTATTGTATCTTAAAATTTTGGGATAACAAATCTTAATTATGCCAAAACTTTCGGGATTATACAATTTTTGTCGTCCCAAACTCAATAAGCAAAATAAACGTTCAATAACCGAACCCATGGACATAGTCAAATAATTTTATTGTCAAGTTTGGAATTCAATTGAGTGCACTTGTTTATTAAATTTTACAGTATAATGATGCAATATTCGTAACAGGGTCTATTTATGTACTATTAACAAAAATAATTACACATCACCATTTAATTTAAATGCTTGGTTACGTGAATATTAAGAAGTTGATCAAGCTCTTTTAGGCCTTAATAAATACAAAGAAATCCAAAAGTGTTTTAAGAAAATAATTAGAAAACTTGAAGTAATTATCGATTTAATTAAGATATTTTTTAATTAAGAAAAGGAAGAAGAGGAGAGAAAGAAGAATGAAATCTATCTATCTTCTTATCCAAAGGCTCAGGCCAATAGAAAGCATTCCAGCTGCTATGAACCGTGAATAAAGGACAAAATAAACAAACTGCTTCTCTCTCTCACACACACACACACACCTCCTTCTCTTCTCCACTTATGGCGTCCACTTTGGGCACTTCTTCAATTGCGCTTCTGCCTTCGCGTTATTTCTCTTCTTCTTCTTCCAAGCCTTCTGTTCACACGCTCTCTTTAACCTCAGGTACATTGCTTTGCAAAATCCATGTTTTTTTCCTTTGTTTTTTGTCTTCAATGTGTTGTCGGATGGTGTGCGGCTGACCCATTTCGTGTATGTGGTTTCTCTGGGCTAAAGTTGCGAATTTGTTTTTCTTTGGGGAGTTTGTAGCTGGAAATGGGTTGTGGGTCCTTGTGGGCGCTGTGTGATTGTTAGAATCTAAGTCGAGTGGTTGTGGCTTTGCAGGGCAGAACTATGGACGGAAGTTTTATGGAGGAATTGGAATCCACGGCATAAAGGGAAGGTCTCAGTTCTCAGTTGCCAGTGTTGCCACTGAAGTTAACTCTGTAGAACAGGTTTGTAGGATATTCAGTTTTTGAAACCTAGATGTTCTTTCTGTGTCTTTTGTTTGTGTTTTCGGATTGCATTGAATGGAGATACTGGGTGCACTCTAGATTAATTGTTGTAAAGATTTCCATTCTTGTTTGTGTGGGTTGAGTCATTGAGGTTCCTAATGTTTTTTTGTGACAAAGGTTGGGTTGAAGGCACAATTTTTAGACTATACTGTGATATTTTTCTTTAGCTTAATAAGCATGTACTGAGAGTGTAAAAAAATTGTCAATCAGAAATCATCTTTTGTATGTCACTGTAAAATGGTAAAATGTTTTAAATTGTTGATCAATTAGATAGTTATTATAAAAGTTAACAAACTTGAGAGTAAATGAATAATAGTATTTACCTGTTAGTGCATATATTATTTATTATTCATTTTTTTTTTTCTTTAAAGCTTTAATGATGAGTTGCTTTTGCACACATGCACATTTAGAGTACGATTGATTGATTGGGGGAGAATTGCAAGGTGAAAACCAGAGGAATGAAAATGAGGTCATATTTAAATGTATCTTGTATTGAAATGCCTGCTTTATGTCATGCTTTATTTACATTCAAATATTAGTGCTAGATTTCTTGGAATTTAAGGATTTAATGTGTGTGTTTTATAAAAACCCAACTCGGTATACTTTCTATGTCTAGAATCCGAGTACTGTTGCTAAAGAAAGCCAGAGACCAGTATATCCGTTTGCTGCCATAGTTGGACAAGATGAGATGAAACTTTGTCTCCTCCTTAATGTGATTGATCCTAAGATTGGAGGTGTAATGATCATGGGGGACAGGGGAACAGGGAAATCTACAACAGTTCGGTCATTGGTTGATTTACTTCCCCAAATCAAGGTTGTTGCTGGTGACCCTTATAACTCAGACCCAGAAGATCCAGAATTCATGGGTGTTGAAGTGAGAGAGCGTGTACTGCAAGGAGAGCAACTTTCTGTGGTCTTGACCAAAATTAACATGGTTGATTTGCCATTGGGAGCTACGGAAGATAGAGTATGTGGAACAATTGACATTGAGAAAGCTCTGACTGACGGTGTCAAGGCATTTGAGCCTGGACTACTGGCTAAAGCTAATCGGGGAATCCTATATGTTGATGAAGTTAACCTTTTGGATGATCACTTGGTGGATGTGTTATTGGATTCTGCTGCATCAGGATGGAACACAGTGGAGAGAGAAGGAATTTCTATCTCACATCCTGCACGGTTTATCCTAATTGGCTCGGGGAACCCTGAAGAAGGGGAGCTCCGGCCACAGCTGTTGGATAGGTTTGGAATGCATGCTCAAGTTGGAACCGTTAGGGATGCTGAACTCAGAGTGAAGATTGTGGAGGAGAGAGGTAGATTTGACAAGAATCCCAAGGAGTTTCGTGAATCTTATAAAGCTGAGCAAGAGAAGCTCCAGGACCAAATTACCTCAGCAAGGAGTGCTCTTTCTTCTGTTCAAATTGATCAAGATCTCAAGGTGAAAATCTCCAAGGTGTGTGCAGAGTTGAATGTGGATGGACTAAGAGGAGACATTGTAACAAATAGGGCTGCAAAAGCTCTTGCTGCTCTCAAGGGAAGAGACAAAGTAAGTGCAGAGGACATTGCTACTGTCATTCCTAACTGCTTGAGACACCGTCTTAGAAAGGATCCCTTGGAGTCAATAGACTCAGGTTTACTTGTCACTGAGAAATTTTATGAAGTCTTCAGCTGAGAGTCATATTTATAACACGGCCCGTATGCTGCGTTATTCCATGAGCAGATTGCTACTTTGTTTAGGATTTTCATTGTCCTTAAACATTAGTAAGATTCATGAACTCCTCTTTATACAGGAAATTCCTAGCTTTTCAAGTGCCAGAGTCATTCACTAATTTACTTCTGTATTAGTAGCCCCGTTCACAAGCTTGGGATTTTGAAACTGTGATTCCTCTATTCGCATCAATTTGAATTTTTTTTTTAAAAAGTTACTTTTTTTATTAAAATCTTTCAGGATTCCTGCTTATTTTGAGTTTCATTGCAAAGGTTACTACATTGGTGGGCGTGGGTTTACTGAATGAGGCGGGTATAACATGGGTTTCTAAACAAACTACTGAAAGTTTATGTCTTTAACCCAATTCCAAACATGCTACAAAAGTGTGTTTGGAAGAAATTACCTGTTGCAAGTCACTGTTCTCTCTCCATGTTGAGCCATCAAAATAAGTAAAATTTTCTATTTACTGCTTCTAATAGAGGAGGATTGCATTGGAATCATAGCTAAAAATGCAGCTTTATGTGTTGAATTATTACAAGAACAATCTATACAAAAAAAAAAAGGCTGAACACACTCCACAATCCACGTTAGTCACGTGAACAACGTGGTACAGATCAAAGTTCATTTTAAAGACGGAAGAAACTAACTATAATGCAGTCTGACGCAACATCGAAAACCAGAAGAAACTACACAAGGTTAACCAACTTTTTATTTTTTTTTCTCCGTATAATATAAACTGAGTATTTAGCAACTATGAAGTGTCGACATAAAGCACGTGAACAGTCGTCAGAAAATACAATTGTCACTGATTTGTAAATACAATTACATGTCCAAGATTCCTTTAGTGCGTGCAAGATCAATATCAGAACCATGCGCCCTGCAAGGTGCAAAAATTCACAATGTTTTATTAGAAAAATTTATTAAAATGGTGTAATTTTGTTTCAATTTTTCTAAAATGGGTACATTTAAAAAACAAATCAGATATAGATAATTAGTATTTTAGAATATTCACTATGAACAAATTATGTTCCAAAACATGATTTTTTTTAATCAGTACATAAATTTTTTTTTAAGAGGGGCTATAATACATTTTTTAAATAAAATTTAAAAGAGATTATTTTTTTAGGTGCCATAACCCCTATATATATCTCTCTAATTTCTCTCCTACTTATATACGACTTTAATAATTTATTATTATTATTTTATTGAAGTCGTGATGTAAGATTTTGGTTATAATTTTTTTATTAAGTCGTGAATCAATTAGTAACTTTAGTTAGTTTTTTTTGGGTTTGTTTTTATTTTTTTAATTATTAAAAGTTTTATTTTAATATTTATAATTAATAAAATAATTAATCTAAATATTTAAACGTCAATAATGTTAAATAATTTTAAAATAAATTAAATTGTTAAAAAAGATGTATTAATTTGGTGATGAAGAAAATATTATAAAAGAAAAATAAAAAATATATTAAAAAAAATACATGATACATTAAAAAAAATTATATTTAATAACAAACAGAGAGGAACAATAATATTATTTTTCTTAATCTCTAAAAGCGTTGGATGGGATATAATATAAATATTTTCAACATATTGCTCCAGGATATAGATTATCTTTAAACAATATAAGTATTTAACATATTTCTCCTAATTTCAACAACAAATTCAAGAATGGAGAATATAAATTATTGTCAACTTTTATTTTTTATAATATATTAATATTTATTTCATTATATTAATATTTTTTATATTTGATAATATTAATATCTAAATAATAAAATAATTTATTTTATTAGTTATAAATATTCAAATAATATTTAATATTTAATAATTAAAAAATAAAAATAAACCTAAAAAAATAACTAAAATAACTAATTGATTAACAATTTAGAAAAAAAAACGTAATTAAAATCATGTATCAATATATGATTTCGATAAAATAATAATACTAAATTATTAAAATCATATATTCTGTATTAAAGAAAAGATAAATCGTGTTTCAAAAACACTACTTTTTCAGAGTGAAAATATGATTTATCTATATTTAATTTTTTAAAAATATACTTTTCTAAGACAAATTGAAAGAGAATTATAACCTTTTGGTAAGTTTGCCGTTTTATCATAACATGCATAGTTAAAATTCCCAATGAAACGCGTAATTAACTATCCATCTAATACACAATATTGATCGTTATAATACAAAATAAAAAATACAGATGTTCGAAGAAATTTCTTCATAAATATTTTTGTGGGAGAAAAAATAAGTCTAGAGAATGAAATTAACTTTTTCATCAGCTAAAATAAACTTATGCGTGAGATAAAAATTATATTTTAGAGAAGTTAACATGAAATAATTTCTCCATATTAATTAATTCAAGCATAAGCTAATTTTAAATCATGAAAAGTTGATTTCATTTTTTGTTCTTGTGTCCCAATTCTGGAAATGCTTAAAAGGAAGTTTTTCCGACCGAACCCAAAATCATTATTTGGAATTGGAACTATTTTGCAGTCTGATCTTGTCACCTTCGGTCATCCCTCCCCATATTGTAGGTCTCTGCTCTAGAAAATCAGGGAACCGCTGAAGTAAAAGAGTAGCCGTCCTAATTAAGATTGAAGCAGTTATAGCCCAAATCACATACTTCTTATTCCCAACCTCATAATCAAAATAATGCAGAAGATACTTCTCCTCCATCCATTCTCTTTCCTCAGCTCTTCTGTTATCATTCTGCATTCCAAACCATGATGATGTCAGAAATTAAGTTCACTTGCATTTATGTTAGAAAGTGCCCCAATATTTCAACCAGTAAAAAAATAAATATACAAATTTTAATCGAGAACAGGATCAGTAGCACAAACCTTGAGGAACATATCCAATGGAGCATAAAATATTTCTTCTACTTCAGCCGAGTTTAAAATTGGTGAAAATGCATCCTTGTCTGTCAGTATTCCAAGCACAGGTATGACGGTGACACCATACTGTGCTTAAAAACCGCATTGTAAGGGTATTGAGTTATAAATATATTTAAGGTTCAAATATATTTTTAATGAATTAAAATAATCAAGTTTTTTAGTATATATGTTCCTATAGTGTCAAAACTAACAAGATTTCTTCATTTCCAGGGACACGAGTCAGCTTGGATAAATTTTTGAGTATTCAGGAGAAGAAAATAAAATGAACTACAAATGTAAAAATTGAATCAAACCTCTCACATTAAAACCAGAGTACTCATCTCAACTTTTTTAGAAGCTATCTCATCCTTTTTCTGTTTTTTTTTTCACAAGCACTTACAAACTAATTAAAACTCAAATAATAGAGTTTTATAATAAAAAATATCCCATAAGCTAAAAGTCAACCCAAACTGGGGATAATTGAAGAAGCTTTAACCTAAATACTATAAAGTTAGAAAGATCCAGATATTAGCTCGGTATAATAATTCGATGCGAAGGGGAAAATGGTAGTAAGATACTACTAGTGATGGGGGCAGGAGGGTGGCTAATAACCTGATTCTAAAAATGGATTAGTACAGTCGGATTGAAATGTTTACTAATAATACATGTTTTAAATTTGAAACATTTAATTACTCATGTTGTTATAGTTACATGAATCGTCCCACCTAGAATAGTGACAATATGTAAATGATAGAAGAAGAAATAATCTAAGATGGAAAAACTTAAAACGTTGAAGTCTGAAATAATATACCCTAGTATGAAGGGGTTGGAGAATAGTAACGACAGAAACAAGAGAAGGTTCCAAGCCAATCTCCTCCTTGGCCTCTCTCAACGCTGTCTGTACATCGTCAGCATCGCCTTCGTCTCTCTTGCCACCTGGTAAAGCCACTTCACCTGCAATTCCAATCAGATCTGAGACGTGAGGAGAAACTCCAATTGAAATTGAGAAAGAGAAAAACATTGATCGAAAAGAGTGAGGGAGAGACCTGAGTGGGTTGAGAGAGAGGAAGAGCGCTTGGTGAGGATTACTCGCAAACTCCCATCGATGCCTTCGAAGATACAGACCAGAACTGCCGCTCTCTTCTTCAAAACGATGGGTTTATCCGCAATGTAGGTGTTGATGGGAGCGGAATACGAACTCTTGATGTGATTAATCAAAGCTTGTAATCTCCGTGAACCTTCGTTTGAACTCATTCTTTCCCTTCTTACTCTTTCTTCTCCTTCATGATTCTTAGTTATACTGCCGCCACCACTTAACTCATTGTCTTTTTAATGCGATGTCTTAATTATTATTTATTTTAATTTTATATGCTATTTTTTAAATAATAAACAAACCTTATTTCTCCACTCTTAAATATAAAAACATAGAATTCATTATATATTTTTATTCATATTATTTTTTTACATATCGTGATCTTATAATATTTTACTTTAACAAATCGAGACTAAATATAGGAATTTCGATTATACAATATTTTGTATCGCTTATACAAACCTATAATTTAGCTAATCAAATATTTTTATCCCAACACTCCCCTCAAGTTGGTAAATGGATGTCATGCATTCCCAACTTGTCCAATAATCTCTTAAAAATCTGACATGTCACAGTTTTGGTAAGAATGTCTGTCAACTGATCTTCAGGTCGAATATTTGGCAATTCCAAAATATTTTTATCAAGCTTTTCTTTGATGAAAAATCTATCAACCTCAACATGCTTCATCCGATCATGTTGGACATGATTGTGAGCAATGTCGCGCGCATCTTTATTATTATAATACAACTGAATAGGACGTGTATATGCATACCCTAAATCCTGGAGAAGTAGTATGAGCCACAAACCTTCACAAAGTCCAAGAACCATTCCTCTAAGTTCAGCTTCTGCACTGGATCTAGTTACAACTTTCTGCTTCTTGCTTTTCCATGTGACAAGATTACCTCCTACAAATGTAAAGTATACAGAGGTTGATCTTCTATCATCAAGAGCACCTGCCTAATCTACATCAGTATAAACCATCACTTCCTTGTAGTTGGAGTTCTTCTTGGACATAACTCATTTTCCAGGAGCAGCTTTTATATACCTTAAAATCCATATAACAGCATCCATGTGTTTTTCACCTGGATTGTGCATGAACTGGCTAACCACACTAAGAGCATAAGCTAAATCTGGCCTAAAGTGTGAGAGATACATCAATCTTCCTACAAGTCTCTAATATCTTCCCTTGTTAGTTGGAGTTTGATATTCTTCAATGCACAGCTTCAATCACTCTTCAATTGGAGAATTTGCTGGTTTGCATGTTGTCATTCAAGTTTTTTTTAGTAAATCCAATGCATACTTTCGTTGTGAGGGAAAAATACCTGACTTTGATCTTGAGACTTCAATTCCAAGAAAATATTTCAAAGGACCAAGATCCTTCATCTCGAATTCTTTTGCCAAGTACTCTTTCAATGTCTTGCGTTCCTCTAGATCGTTTCTCGTAACTATCATGTCATCAACATAGACAATAAGAATTGTAATCTTTTCTTCCTTTTTCTTTAGAAACAATGTATGATCTTGGTTGCTCTGTTGGTATCCAAAAGCAAGCATTGACTTGGTGAATCTACCAAATCATGCTCGTGGCGATTGTTTTAGTCCATACAATGACTTTTTCAACTTACATACCTTCTTGCTATGTGTATTCGGGATCCCACATCCTTCTGGTAGCTCCATATAAACTTCTTCAGACAATTCCCCGTGTAAGAAGGCATTTTTTACGTCAAATTGTTGTAAGGACCAATCAAGGTTTACAACTAGAGATAACAATACTCGAACTGTACTAATTTTGGCTACGGGAGCAAACGTTTCAGTGTAATCTATTCCATATGCTTGTGTGTACCCCTTTACCACTAATCTAGCTTTGAATCTCTCAATTGTGCCATTTGCATTAAATTTCACAGTATACATCCATCGGCATCCTACTGGTTTCTTTCCAACTGGACAATCTATTAATTCCCATGTTTTATTTCTTTGCAAGAATCTCATCTCCTCATTCATAGCATCCTTCCACCTGGAGTCAGCTAAAACTTCTTGCACACTGTTAGGAGTAGATACAGTAGATAATTGACTTATAAATGCGATATTTGAGTTAGACAAATTCTGGTTACAAACATAATTACTCATAGGGTATCTTGTCTTATTGGTGAGGTCAGGATCATAAGTAGGCTTAGGGATACCTCTAGTGACACGATCTGGCAGAATTCTTTTTCCTGTATTAGGTTCTTGAGAGGACGATTGATGTGGTATATCATTAGCATCAATAGGAAAATTTTCGATCTTAACATGCTCAAAATCTTCCTCATTATGTGGTTGTTGATCATAACATTGTTACATACTTTCATCATCTCTTGATACAACTTTGTAACTTTCTTTCTCTAATCTGATCTCAATATCAATTTCTTGAGGAACAAAAGTCTGAACTTCATTATAATTCTCCCCCTGAATTTCAGACTCGGGGGAAAAATATATCAAGGTTTCATGAAAAACTACATCTATAGTAGTAAACATTTGCTTGGTTTGTGGATTGTAGCACCGATATCTTTTATGGTGATTCGCATAGTCAAGGAACACACACCTTTCAGCTCTAGGAGACAACTTACTTCTCTGATGCTTGTGTAAGTGAACATAAGCAACACAACCAAAAACTCTATGTGTTAGTTCAGCAATTTTAGGACTTACTACTGCATCTGTAAGTGATTGAAGATGTGTTTTATACTCAAGAGACCTGGACGGTGTTCGGTTGATAGTGTATACTGCATATGTGAGAGCTTCTCCCCAATATATTGCTGGCATGTGAGCTCCAATTAGTGTAGCTCGGACCACCTCCAATAGATGACAGTTCTTTCATTCTGCCACCCCATTCTGTTGTGGAGTACTTAGACAAGATCTTTGATGAACAATTCCTTTGGCTACTAAAAAATGTTGAAGTTCTGATTGCATATATTCTCCTCCGTTGTCACTGTGCAGTACCTGAATTTGTGTTTTGTACTGGGTCTCAATCATTTTGCAGAATTTCTGAAATAGTCCTCCAACTTCACTTTTAGACTTCATCAAACATAACCAAGTCATTCGAGTACAATCATCAATAAACGTTACAAATCACTTTGAGCCATCCAACTTTGTAACCTTAGATGGACCCCATACATCAGAGTGAATGATCATAAAAGGAAGAGAAATTTTATTTAAAATTAAAGAAAAATGTGTTCTATGACTCTTTGCAAGCTCACAAACATCACAATAAAAAGTTGAAGTGTCTACTTGGTCAAATACATTTGAAAATAATTTCTTTATGTAATCAAAAGATGCATGTCCTAGACGCTTATGTCATAACCAGATATCCTCGCATTTTCTTACTTCTTGAGACCCTTTTATTGCTAGCACTTGACCAAGTCTCTTTGAATCTTTTTCTGTTAGGTCCAGGTAATACAACCTTCCTCGCCTAATATCACAACCAATCGTATTTCTCGTTTGAATATCCTTAAAAACACAAGAGTCAGACCCAAAAATTACAACACATAAAAGAGCTTTGGTTATTTGCGAGACTGACAATAGGTTATATTTAAGAGAATGAACAATAAGGACAATATCAAGATTCAAATTGTTTGAAATAGAGACAGTTCATTATCCAATAATAGTGGATTTACTACCATTGGCTGTGGATATACTTTTTTGTGAGGAAGATTTAAGATTTTTAATTTGTCTAACATCAAAAGTCACATGATCAGAACATGCAGAGTCAATTATCCATGCATTATTCAGAACGGTAGATGTGTTTATTAAAGTGTTACCATTAGAATCATCACTACCTGCGGAATCAAAAATCATATCTTTTGTTTTCATCATAGCTATGGAATCAGAAATCATATCTTCTGTTTTCAACGTTGTTCGTCGGACTGTCTTTCTCCGGATCAATGCATAGCATTCTTCTAAATCAGGTGTCACTTCTTTGTGCAAGATTTCTCCACGAATTTGCTCAAAATCATCATCTAGTCCAACAAGGAATATATGCATCCTTAATCTTTCAATGGACTTCTGATATGACTTCACATCATTAGGGTCCTTCATGACTACTTTGTCACGATGGTCCAATTCCCTAAAAATCTCAACCAACTCCCCATAATATTCAGTTAAGGTTCTATTATTTTATTTTGCAGTGAATGCCCTTTGATTCAGGGCAAACACGTGTAGCTCATCACTTCCATCATAAAATGCCTTCGACAAAGTATTCTAAATATCGAGGGCAGTGGGTAAGCGAATATACCTTTTCATAATTTCTGGCTTCATGGACATCAATTGCCATCTTTTCACTTTTTGGTTTTCAGCATATCATTTTTCATATCCCTCATCTTTCTCTATTGGAGGTTTCACCTACCAACAGATATAAGACATTTTTTTCCTCTCAGCAATGTGCATCTCTATTAGTTGTGACCATACGTCATAATTGGATTCATTTAGGATGATGCCTGCGTTGAAGACACCTTCAGATTGAACAACCATTGAAATTAGTTTTTCTGTCATCTCTCCAATTAAGATCTCCAAGGATTTTGAAAGAAAAAGAAAAAATTTAAAGTTATAAGCTCTGGTAGCAAATTAAAAAACATAGAATTCATTCTATATTTTTATTCATATTATTTTTGTATACATATACTATGATATTATAGTATTTTACTCTAACAAATCATGACTAAATATAGGAAGTTCCGATTATACAATATTTTATACCGCTTATACAAACCTATAATTTAACTAATTAAATATCTTTATTCCAACATCTTACACATTTTCTCACTTCTTATTCTTAAATAAAACTCATTTGAACGTAATAAAAATACGATTATTCTTAATAATAATAACTTAGCATATATATTCATTACATAAAAGAATATTTTAATCTAACTATATAAATATTGTATATAATAAGTCACTTATACCCCACAATTTCTCGACTATTTTATCCTACAAAAAGTTTCTAAAATTCATAAAGTCATAATACTCACTTCCACATTCTGTTAGGAGACTTTGTCATTGATATAAAATCTTCGTGTGAATGTGTTTAAAAATTTCAAAAATAACATAATAAATTGATTTGAATAAATTATACATAAATAATTTTAGATAAGAAAATATATTAAATATAAAAATGCATTGAAAAAACATTTATGCCTCGTAACGACATCATAAATTTTAGGAATTTTTAATTGGCTCAATAATAGGATACTAGTGTATTTTGTATTTTATATTCGTTTCATTCTTTACATTTTAATAAATATTAAACAATTATAGTGTCTTTTCAGTACGAGTAAGAGGTGTATACAAAAGCAATCTTCTCATGTGCTCACATGTACAACTTTTACACATTTGTACGAGTAGTTTAAAAGCTAAAGAGGGAATATACTGAAAATGTGTGACCTTTATATTTTTTTAAAAGATTATGATAATATTTATTGGGTGATGATGGATGAAGATGTCTCTATAGAAAAATGCATAAAATCTGTCGTGTCTGTCTCCAATAAACTCTAATGTTTTTTGATTTGGTACTTTCTGATTCTCAAGTGGCCATAAAGCAAGACTGATCCTTTAACTACTTTAAACTTGCTTTCCTATTCAAATTGCCTCTTACTATCGACACTTGTAACTTTTACTAGAATTTCTAAGTTGAAAAATATGAGTTAAATAATTAGATTATTGAGTAAAACAAATAGGGAAATAATGAAATCCCACTCCGTGTTATACATGATGAGTTTCAAAATTATTTAATGATTTTCGTTCAATTTTATAGTTTTTGATAAAATTTTAATCAGTAAAAAAATATGATAGAGAGAATATTGCTATTACTGCTCGACAAGTTTTCACTCAGCAAATGTTTCTAAAGATTATGGATACATCTTTTGACGTAAACAAATGTAACTTATTGATGGCATTCTGTAAGCAGGAATATGAATTCCAAGTGTTGGGATACTTTTCCTTCTCAGTACATTTAAACAACTACTTAATCTTTAAATCTAAGTAGTGATGAGTGCTATTGCAAGATGAACAATTGTTAAAGGGTAAAATACATCAAATGTCAAATTCAATGCATTAAACAGTTAAATCCCGAGGAAGCTTGACTTTAGGATTCTGCTCCATGAAAGCTGGTGGTCGTTGGTACACAACTGATGCTGCCCTTATTAAGATCCCAGCAGTTAAACCCCATATTAGGAATTTTTTATGCTCGATTTCATAGTCAAACAAATGTATCAGATGATTCTCTCCCATCCATTGCATCTTCTCCTGGCTTCTATTTTCATCCTGATTAACATAAGCAATGGCATGGCATTTAATACACAGTAAAACATGCATACGACAAAGAAGTAAAACCAAGAGTCCACCTTGAGAAACATTTCTAAAGGTGCATCAAATACAGCTTCTACTTCAGCAGGATTCAGAACAGGTTTGAATGCTTTTTTGTCATGAAGAATGCCAATGACCGGAACCACTCTCATGAGGTACTACAAAAGGAAAAGAAAACAATAGATTAACTTTCACTTAGAGGAAACTTTATGAATAGTTTTCAAATTAATCATTATTTATTTGTCAAACAAGTAGAGGTGTAAAAAAGAGGCTATACCTTAGAGAAGAATGGTTCAAGAACAGTAACAACATCGACAAGTTCAGGGTCCAACCCAATTTCCTCCATTGCCTCTCTTTTTGCTGTGTCCATATCATCCTTGTCCCCCTCCTCCGCTTTCCCACCAGGCAAGGCCACTTCACCTGCAAAACAAGGTCAACAACATGACACAACCCTCATTTCATTCCCTACTGATTCCCTCCAAGTTTAGCCACTAACATCAACATTTTTGTTATAACAGTAGAGCAACCACTTAGCAATTGTAGTTACAATAGTGGCATTTGTATGTGATTTTCAGTAATGTGAAAGATTGCAATGAAACAAACCTTACATGTAATAGTAATCTATAAAAATTTAAAGAAAGGACAAAACCATGGTCCTACATTTAAAAATTAAAACCATGGCCACATATGAAATCGAACTGACCCGAGTAAGTGGAGAGCTTGGAAGAGCGCTTGGTGAGTATCACTCTGAGATCCCCAGCATCTCCTTCAAAGAGGCAGATCAAAACAGCAGCTCTCTTGTATCTGAATTTTTCTGTGTTTTGAGCAATTGGGGTGGTTGATTCTTCTGAGACAACCTTCTCTTCCATGAAATCATCCAATATGTCTTCAGGGAGTAGTGGGGGCTTGTAAAGGCGGAGCCGTTGCGCCAAGTCCAGAAGCCTCTTTGATCCTCCATTGGAGATTGAACAATCCATGAACTTGGAGAGAATATCTATCTTCTCTCAATAGAAGTCATGAGTCATAGTTAACCACATATAATAATACCATACTATATATATGTAGCATGTTCTGGTGATATTTAAACTTGAAGAAGTTAAATGAAAATGGATAGATTGTAGAATGGTATAGGTTCTATGATGGAATGATGTGAAGGAATACCTGTTTTTGGCAACGTATATTAATGTCCTTGAAATGGAAAAGTTTCCATATGAATGGCTGCATTTTTCTGGTCCTACTCCTACCACATTAACCATCTTAATTCTTTATCAGTAACAACCAACATTGAATAATGTGTCTCCAGTTTCCTGTAAAAAACACAACTTCACAGGTTTGTTGTCTCTGTTATCCTAAAAACAACGATATACTAAGTACAAGCAAAGCAACATATTAAAAAAAACTAAAATTAGAAATGTTTAATGCAACAAAGTGACAGCTACTGAAGGAATTAGAAATGTAGTGAGATTTATTTATCTTGTTAGATTTCAGATTTCAACGTTGGTATTAATACTATATTACTGCTCTTCTCTAGTTGGTACTGACTCACATTAAGGACCAGTTATTAGTCGATATCCAAAATGCCGGTTTTTAATGCGAAACTGAAGAATCGAATTCATTAAAAAGGAAAAACTTTGTGATAAAGGATGTGGTTGGAATAACTTATTTATTTGAATTTATTTTTTGTTTGCATAAATTTTAGTGGAAGTACTTGATGAGAATAAGTCAGAAGATATATTATAAATTAAACTTTATCTTATGATTGAAACATTTCTGTAAGGTGTAGTAAAAATTATAATTTCAATAAGCACTATTGAATAACTTGTAAAATATATATATATATATATATATATATATATGGGAAATTTCATTTAATATTTACATAGTATTTTATTTAGTTTTACATGCATTTTTTTTTTACTCGTGTTTTTACCTTGGACTTCTCTTTGTGTTTTTCATGTCCCTTCTTTCAGAGTTAATCTTTTAGGAAAAGTTGAAACATTTTGAAATCTTTTGGGAGAGTCTGGACCAATAATTCAAAAAAGATCACAAGGAGGGTGTAATTTCTATTGCATCTTGTAAATGGGGTTTTTAATTCCTTTCACTCCAACTTTTTTTATAGACCTTTTTACACTCTGTTTAGATCTTAGATTTTGGGCTACCTCCATGGCTGGAGAAGATAATTAAAACCATGATCTTGTCATTCTTATTTGGTTGGTTATCTTTCGTCACTCTTTTTTTTCTTTCTGATTTCATGACAATATACTCAGTGAATAATAATTTTTATTTCTAGAATTGGGTATATTCCTATTAAATTCAATGCATTAATTTATATAATCCTTTTGTTTTTTCCTTCTATATGATTTCTTTCAATTATTTTTGTATAACGTTGAGTGATTTGACTAACATTCAATAGAAATGTGTATATTCACCTTGCTGTTTTGTGAGGAATTACCACTCCAAAATAAATAATATGTCGTATATAAAAATTTATCCGTATTATCATAACAAATATATATTTACAGATATATAAAAAATACTTTAAATTAAATTTTTTTCAAACAAAAATCACAATAATTAATTGTTGTCAAAATGTAAACCTCAATCTAAATCTTAATAGACCTATTTGAATAAAATGTTAATAATTGTTTTAATTTTAGTTTGACCTCAAAATTCAATTGTCAATTTAAATTTGTTTCTCTTGTTTGAATTTTATTTAATTAGCAATGATCCTAAAAATCAGTAGCACCCTCTATACGAAATAATGATATTATTACTTGTTGAAAATACTTTGTACATGGAATTTTGGGGGTGTATATGAAAACAACTCAACGTCATTTTTCTTTTATCATTTATGTGTAAAATAATCTTTAACAAGAATTATTTATGAACACAAATATTATTTTAATATAACTCATATATAAAAAAAGAATTATTAAACAACTCATATGTGCGAAATCTATAGTAAAATAATTTAAGTAACTCTAATCGGGTGTGTATAAGTATTTATATGACAATCAGTTAGATTAAAAGAAATAAAAAAGAATTTTTTGTTAGGAAGAAAAAAAAGCTGAATAAGAAAACATTTAAAAGTAGTTGGGGCATAAGATAGATTGAGGAATTATGAAGCATAAACTGATCACCTCTGCCTACTCCAGCTAATTTGGTACTCTTTCCACCCACCACCATAATGTAGGAGTTGTTCTTCGATTATTTTCCACTCTCCATTACTAAATGTCTATTTCATCTTACTTTAAACAAACAATTACCTCTTTTCTAACCTTCTCACACAAATTTCAAAGGTACCCCATTTCTCTAAAAGAGTTAAATCAACTTTAATATTCAAAGCATGTCAATGAAATTATTCAACTACTCGTATTTTGCATCTCACTTTTCACTCAATATCCTTTGCTCACTCTAATAAAATAATAGGTTCATTAACAATACTTCCTCCGTTATAAAACTATACTTATTTTATACATTCAATATAACATTTGCAACATTTTTTCAATTATACCCTTCTTTATATATCTACTAAAACATTAAATTTTACAAAATTGTTTCATTAAGTAAGAGTACTTTAGTCTATAAATGTAATGAATATACACTAATATTAAACAACTACTTCCTCTAAATAAATAAAAAAGTTAATGTTTGATGGACTTAAATATAATCAAACTTCAATTTCTTAAACTCTAATTAATATTACTATTTCAAAAAAAAACTTTAAACCTACTTATTGTTGTTAAAATTGACAAAAACACAAACAAAGTTTCAGAAATGTCCTAAAACATTTTTCAGTAATGTATTGCATAAGTTTTCTAAGATAAAAAAAAATTCTCGAATTTTTTTAAGATTTTAGAAACTAAGAAAGAAACTCTTAAACGTATTTTCAAGGAGTGTTAAATGATATGGTAGGATTAATAAATTCATCTCCGCCTGACATTACTTGGAAGGAAATGGACAACGTTTAGAACATTTGATACATTCCTTGCAACTGAAGTCCAACAACAAGAATCACAATCCACTTTTCCGTGGGTGAGTGGCGCTTGAAAATGTGGTTAGGAAGCATGCTTAAATAAATATTAAATAACAATCATCACTCTCAATAAATATAATTAAGAGTGATACCGGAAAAATACAACCTTATATAAAAGCAAGAATATTAAATAAACTTAAATAATATTCTTCATCAAAGTAAAAATATTTAATTTCGCTGAAAAATGAGTCAATATAGTTTTGGAGGGGAGAGGTAAAAATACACAATGTTTATGTACGCATTATTGTGTAAGATAATTATAAATGGAACAGAAACAATGGCAAGTTTCACAAAGCATCTGAAAATGGTAATTATTAACCATGACGAAATCAACATGAACACATCTCGGAAATTTTTCTATTACAACATACATAGAAGGAAAAAGAATAGATATATTGTTCCGTCTACAATCTGTTTCTTCGTTGAATATACATGATTGAAAAAAGGAAAATAAACAGAAGCAATCAACAAATCACACCCACGAGCAGCTCTGCTGACACATTCTCTGCAGTGGTTTTCAATTTCAGTCACACTCATATGCGCACATATTGGAAGCAATCCAATAAATAAATAACTTGGCTTCTTGGTTGACTTTTTATGGATTGTAACCAATTTAAAATCAATTTGACTCAGCTCGACTCAAGTTATCAAAAAAGCTTGATACTTAAAAATTGTGCTGTATATTTGCCACCATGTTCAGAACTCATTGCACTCCTTGAACCACAGTTTTCTCAGCAGTTGGTGGATAAGACAATCTCCTAGCTTTTGAATTGCCTTTTGAAATGGCTGTAGGAGGTTTAGCTGAGATAGGAGTTTTAGGTGTTGATGTGTTCTTATCTTTCTCAACCTTGCTTGGCTGCTTATGTTGAGATTTCTTTGGGGTGACAGATAAGTTGGAGACACGGCTTTCCCATGGCCGAGCAGCAATCCACCTTTCCTTCCAGCTCCAACCCCAATTAGCCTTGCTAAGTTCATAATTACCTAGCAGTTGGCTCTGACTAGAGTTGGCCCTCCACTATATGATTATAATATATGCATGGGAGTATCAGTTGGATAAGGAAATACAAGATACAAGATATTGGGACATTCATAAGACTAACAAACCTACCTGATGGGAAAAAGCATATGCCATGGCTCTTTCGCGCTTAACTGCTGCTTCTTCCCTCTGATGTATCTTTCCAAGGATTTCCTCCATGGTTTCAGAACCACCAGACCATTCAACCTGTAATTTATGCTCTCTAGTGCTCAGAACAAGATTAACTGGATTGAGTTCAAAGAAGATTGTGTATCTACTGAGATATTTGACCAGTATTAACAATTCAATGGCCGCAAATTTCAAGCATCTCTGGAATTGATTTTCATTAAGTAGTGTTTTATGAATATTTCGCTATGCATTTTAACTCAAAACTATATAGAGCATAGAAAAAGCAACATTACAGGAAGACCAAAAATTTCCAAGAAAAATAGAAACACATTTAATAAATTCTCATAACTATGAAAGAATCAAGATAAATAATCAGATAAACAGATGAAAATTCAGATTCAGTTAGTGATACATCAGGTTCACAAAAAAAAAAAAAAAAAAAAGTCTTTCTAAATAAAATTAGGACTGGAACAAACTTAAATATTAGGGCAAGCTAAAGATTACCTCCAGATCATGCAGCTTCGCCTCCAGTTTTAGTTGAGACTCTAGTTTCTTCCTCCTGATCCTATCTTCTGTTACCATACAGATTCGGCGATCTCTGATCTCAGCTTGTATCTTGCTCCATGAGTGAAGGTATGTTATAGCTGTACTGGCTTGCTTTTTAACAGAGAAACCTTCTGTTAGGATCTTCAGTTTCGTAAATCTTTTCATGCGACGTAAAGCTTTTCTAGCCTGGACAGTTTAAAAGTCAGAGTTGCAAAATAAACCCCAGTCAAAGATATTAACACATGTTTGAACTATTATAAATATATAAACAGAAGTATGATTGCTAAGGACATGCTCAATAAAAAAGGTCAGACTGGGGTTATCCTGTACATGTACTATAAGAACCTGTCTTGCAAAATTTTCAATTCAACACACCTTATAAGCTCGGAATGCAGTCTGGATCCTTGTTGCAGCAATAGTTTCAACTGACACCCCATCTGACACAAGGTTTTCACTTTTAGTACCATTTGCTAAATCACTAGACTCTTTTCCAGTACAATTGTTTGACTTTGATGCATTTAGTTTCTCTTGAGCTAAGACACCCTGTCTCAAAATGTGACCAGATAGAGATAGAAATATTCTGGTTACAATGGTTCTCATGGAAAATCAATTATCTTGAAATACTAGATAATAAATGGTATTTCTGCAGCCTAACATAAACAAAGCAATTAAGTTTTTACAAACAACATTACTGTGCCTCATATGCAAGATTATTCCAAACTCAGATAAAATACATTTTATTAGTCCTGTTTAAAGAATAATTACATTACATCAGTTTAGAGGTGTATTGCAGTCAGAAATGTTGAATCACCTTATGGTTTATAGAAGGCTTCTGAACTAACTTTGCTATTCAATTTGTTGCAACAAAGTACTAAAATAAACTGTTTATTTTGGTAAACATTTTGGTGAACTTCTAACTAACTTAAGATTCATCTTGGTAAACAACTTAATTAACTGTTTATTGAATATAATTACCAATTAAGAACTTACACATAAGTTGTTTCAATAACTATGGAGGAAATAAGCTACACTGTTTTAATGTAAACTGTAAGCTTTTTTCATAAGCTATTCTAAAGATAAGCTGAAAACAACTTATGGACATATCATAAGCTGAAAAGTAAAAACAACTTATGGACATATTATAAGTTGTTTTCATAATCACTCCTAAAGAGTTATTCTTATACAAGTATTCATATCATATAATAAGCACAAATAAGTAGTAAGTTCTTTCAAACAGACCCTAAGTCTGGGCCTAGAGCCCACTAACTAAAGTTGTGTCCTTTATTGGAAATTAGAATTGCATTTATAGAAAGGCATATCTCTATATCAGATGATAAATAATTTAAGATAAAGCGGCACGCACCAAAACTCAAAATAATTCAATTGTTTAGGAGACTAATGGAGATACAGAAGTTTAAAATCAACAGATTGAAATTTCTGCAATTTAATCCCTGCAAGGATTAGAACAATAAACTAAAGATGATAGGAATTGCATTGTACCTTCGCTTTCTTTGATCTGCCTTGTTTTGATTTTCTTAAGCTAATTATTGTCTTAAACCAATCGCCTGAACCCATTCTTGATGTGAAGTAACTTCTTTCAAAATAACATAGCCCTGGAAATATAACAAGCAGTAGCATCTCATCTTACTCTCCATTAATACACATTGAGCATGTTGTTCTTAGATTATAAGAGATTCACACAAAACAAAACCGAAGAAGGAGAAGATAAATGAAGGCCTTAGACAGGTAGACAATTTGACTTATTTCTTCAAACATATTAAAGCTTGATAAGGGAATTCTCTTGTGTATGTCGTTTGTAATAAAGTCCAATGCATATATTATAGTCACCATTGAAAGATTATGTCAGAAATATACCATACTATGGATCCTATCAGAAATCAAATTATGATCAGAAAAGCTTACAGCGATCCAACTGGATCACAATTTGAGACACTAAAAAAAGAAAGCTGTAAATTGCACATATCGAAGCTAAAGTTAGCTATGAAAATATAGGACATGCTGTTAGAGTTGATACCCAAAAGCAAATACTTTTGTCTTCCCGGCAATAATAACAGCCAAGTCAGCGAAACTTACAAGAGACACCAAAACAAACGCATACTATGATCTACCAAAACAGCAAATAAAAAACATGGATAAAAAACTCAACCTCTGCAAAACAAAGAAGGAATAGGTCCAAAATCAACATGAAGATGGGTTTCCCAGAATCAGAAAAAAAAGAAACAAGAATGCAAGTGGGGTGAGAATGACAGGTATACCAGAGATACTTCAAAGGAGACCCCTTTTTTTTCCTGAACTGGCAACCAAGAAATGGAGGGTGGGGAAAATGATATATTAGTGTAGAAGTAAAGAGGAAGAAAAGGAGAAAACGAAGAGAGAGGAGTCAGCAAAAGAATAAAAGGTGGGTGTGAAATGTGGATTGCCATGGCCCAGTACCAGCCTTAATTCTCTCATAACGTATAAGTTGAGTGAAAGATGAATATAAGTCCAAACATGAAATAAATATAGAAGGAAGAGACTTTATGTGTGTGAAAGCGACGAGGCGACGAATACTACTTCCCTATACACACCCAGAGAGAGATTATCCTAATATGGTATACATAGGTGGTTGGATTTTTGGGGAACTGGCAAGGAACCCTACAATGACAGCGGAACAAATTCTGCCAATATTTTTATATTTAATATTTCACTTGAATCCATTAAATAAGTTTTCGAATTGAGTTGGATGAAACTATATAATTACGAATAAGAACATTCAATAAAAGATATGATTAATTCATTTTTTTAATAAAAATTAATTATATATAAAATTGATAAATTTAGATATCAACATTAAATTGACTCAAATTTGAAAAATATATTCAAATCTAACAAAAGTTTAAAAACGACTTATTTGTTCTAATTATCGGATAGTATTTTTCATGTACCATGTATTTTATCCAACTTCATGTCAAATAAATACTAATTAAGTTTATGTAAAATAAATTGGTAAAAAATTTTATGTCAAAAAAAATGGTAAAAAAACTTTATGTTGGGAAAAAAATTTATATAAAAAATTAGAAAAAATTGGTCCCGGCAAAATTTTATGTAAAAAATGGTAAAAAAGTTTATGTAGAAAAATGAAAAAAAAAAGTAGTTTATTCAACTTCATGTATTATTTCATGTATTATGTATTTTATCCAACTCCATGTCAAATAAATACTAATTAAAAAAACTTTATGTAAAAAAACTTTATGTAAAAAAATGAAAAAAAAATTATATAAAAAATTAGAAAACTATGGTCCCGGCAAAAGTTTATGTAAAAAAAATGGTAAAAAAATTTACATAAAAATAATGCTAAAAAAGTATGTAAAATTTATCGGATAGTATTTTTCATGTATTATGTATTTTATTCAACTTCATGTCAAATAAATACTGATTAAGTTTATGTAAAAAAAATATAAAAAAATTTTATGTAAAAAAATGGAAAAGAAAAAATAAAAAAATAAAATAAAAATGGTCCCGGCGAGGCTCGAACTCGCGACCTCCGGCTCATAAGACCAGCGCTCTAACCAACTGAGCTACGGGACCAATTTGTTATTAAATTTTACATAATTAATTATCTTTATATATATTGTTTTATTAAACTTTTTTATAAGATATCGTACTTCTCTTTATTTTCATTAAAAATATATAATTTTTTATATTATTATTATTATTATTATTATTTATTTATATTAGTTAAATCTTAACATTTGTAAGAATGAATCTTAATTAATTACTATTTATGTTATGCTTACTTTTTTATTTTATTTTTTGTTTCTTTTAATTTTGTTTTCCTTTTGATTTTTGGCCCTTAATAATATCAATTTCAATCTTATTATATAATTTGGTATCATTACTGGTTATATCTTCGTTTAAGGAACGAGAATCACCATCTTATGATAATATTATTAGGGTTAATTTTTTCATCATAATTTTATCTTTAAAATGCACATCAGTGAGTGGATTGAGAGAGAAATATGTATTATATGAGTAAAGCGAGACTCTACTCTCGACCTGATAGTGGGTGCCAATATTACGTTTAAGAAACGAAGGTATTCCGGTCTCATGTCAACTATGATAATATTGTTATAGTCAATTCTCTGATCACGATTTTGTCCTAAAAAGATATTTTTGTGGATGGTTGAATGAGGAAGATATTGTATGACTAGAGTAAGACTCAACTCTCAGCCTTACGATATAAACTAATATTTTATCTAATAAACGATAGTGTCTCGACCTCATGTCCGCTATGATAACCCTTGTCACGATTTTGTCCCTAAATGATGTCTCGGTGGATGGGTTGAGATAACTCCGTTTAAAGAAAAAAAGTGTTTTGACTTAATATTCGTTTTTGAGCTTTCATCCATTATGATTTTGTCCTTAAAAAAGACATCTGAATGAGTTAAAAGAGAATGATATATATAAATTATTTTTACATTAACTCTTAAGTAATGTGAGAATTATAAACGTATTAAATTAATATAATTTAATAATAGATATAAATAAATTAAGTAATATGATTAAATTCTAAATACTCCTGTTCAACAAATATGATTATGTCATTTTATTTTGTGGTTCTTAATTAATATAAATTAAAATGAAAATTAATTTAAATCAAAATATAATTTATAATAATTAATTTTTTTCTCAAAATTTTATTTAGATATTTTTCTAACACTACTTTCTGACTACGTATCAATAAATTCTTCTATTTTACTCCATTTAGTATAATTTAAATATATAATCATTTCTCAAAACAAAGGAAATAAACATACTGGACAAAGTGTTTTATACCTATTTTTGATTTCGTCCCGCCTTTAATAAATTATCATTTTTTATTCAATTAAAAGCTAAATATTTTTTAAATTTAACAAGTTATAGATTCTAAGCTAGATATGTTCAGTGTACTACTTAAAAAAATACTTACATAATTATTTATTACTTTTTTTTAATTGATGGATTCATTTATGAGAATTCTTAGTTTTTTATTACTATAATTAAATCTGAGTTATAAATATTGTTAAAATTTTCAATATTAAAAATGTATCCCAATAAATTATAAATACATCACATATAAAAAAAGAGTTAGGAATCAAGTTAAAATATCGTTAACTAAAAATTTTATAGGTGAAAAAGACTAATAATATAATATTTGAAATTTTTTGATTAAAAGTATTATCTTAATCACTTATATAATTTATTTCATAAAAATGTAGTAATTATCTCCCGGTTATTAGCATATTACCAACATGTATTTTGTTTATTAGATTACCCAGTGAGGAAAAAATAGCACTCAATGATAGCAGCGTTTATTAAAGGGTAGAACAAGTCAAAAGCTAAATAAATTTGTTCGTTGAAATTTACCCTGTAATTTAGATAGAAGTCTACAATTGTCCCTATAGATCATAACTCGACACACCCAAAGAAAATAATTTGTGACGCCAAAGTCAATAATGTTGACGGAGACAAATTTAAGATTCATACGAAATGGGTTCATTTTTCATATCAGGAATTCCTTTTCCACACCAATGATTTCCATTTCAAGGCGTGGAATATATTGTGTATAAACATAACCTGGTTTACATTGAAATCAATTAAGAAAGCATGGGGTCTGAAGACAAACATGAGGAGGAATCACTTGGTATGGGCCTTAAGCTGATGCTAGCAGCAGCTCTCTCTTTATTTGGTATGATCTTAGTAATCATCATCTTCCATTTTAGTGCAAAATATTTCATTAGACGCCAACAAAGGAGACGCCAAAACGACCTTCTTTACCAGATCACCACTCAAATTGCACCAGTTGATTTGAGTTCTGTGGAGCCCCGCAACCCTGGCCTTGAAACTTCCATCGTAGCCTCTCTGCCTAAACTTTTGTACAAGCAAACGGACCAGTTTAAGAAAGGTGAAGTCATAGAGTGTTCCGTTTGCCTAGCCACTATTCTGGAGGATGCAGTCACTAGAGTGCTGCCAAATTGTAAGCACATTTTTCATGTTGATTGTGTTGATAAATGGTTTAATTCTAACACTACATGCCCAATTTGCCGCACTGTGGCTGACCCAAAGGTACAACCTGAAGAACGTGGTCATTTCCACCAAGTCCAACCCACAGCACCACCTGTTGTGGGTGGTGTTGAGCTCCGAGATGGTAATGAAATGGAAAAGGTGGGGTGCTCAGGTTTGAGAATAGGATCCTTCCATAGGATGGTTAGTAGCAGTGAAAGATCAGGGAGAAGGACCCAGAGTTGTGATGAATCTACCATAGATATTGAAAGACACTGAATTAAGTAGTGAGTATTGATATGTTTTTTTATGAAATTTTGGGATTGTTTGTGGGAGAGTATTCCTGTATTTGTCATTGCCCTGTCTTTCTATTTATTGTTGGAGGAATAAACTAAATAATAGTATTTAAAGTTTGAAGATAAGTCCAACTCTATCATGGGAATAAAAATTACATTATGTAATTTTATTACATGGAATATTTATGTCATAGTGGTGTGTATTTTAATTTAGGTTTAATTATACTGGTTACGAATAAATATATTCATGTTTCATATTTTGAAGGGGTTAATATTAAAATATTTTTTATTAATAGGATATGAGTAACTAAATAAACTAATATGATCTCATCCTAAAAACAAAAAAACTTAAAATGTTGGATTATATATCTTTCTCTTTAATAAGTTATTAAACTTTTTTAATTTTATCTAACATAAATTTTAAATTCACTTGAATTTTCAATAATCCCCTATCAAGTTTAATTTCCTTTTATATTGGTACACTGTCGAGTACAAATATTTCTTGAACATGAGTATATGAGTATATAGTAGCTTGATACCAGACAAACCACTAACTTACCACTCTTCAAACAAAATTATTTCTTATACATCATTATTTAATCGTCTCACACTATTGAGTATTTTCAAAGATGACTAACAATAGAAAGACAAACTAACCATAAAAAATAATATATCATAATTTTTAACTTAAAACTTTAAAATAGTATTATGTTAGGAGTATTTTTCATTTAAAAATTACTCTAATTTTCTATTTTTAACCTACAACTTCAAATTCACACTTAAAATTAAAGACAATAAATTAAGGAATTTTTATCAACTCTTGTCATCTTATATTTTTTTCTATGTGCATATAATAAAGTCAAAATATCTTTTAATGAATCTTTATTTTAATGCACCACAACTCAATCATCATTTCTCAATCATAAACATTTACAATCATATTTAAAATCATTTAAAAATATGTTAATTAAAATATTAAAAGCATTTACTTCCCTCCACCACAAAGGTGCACACTCAATTAAAGTACTTTGAACTGATTTTACAATTGGGTGAAACAAATATTTTGTGAGCAAAAATAAAACAGAATCATCATTTACTGAACAAATCTTATTTGAATAAAAATAATCTTACTTAAACAAAAAATACAATAAACTCAAATCATATTCAAGTAAAACATTTTTGCTTAAGCAAAAAATTTATCGAAAATGAACTCAAAATCATCTCTCTAAATTTAGAAGTTTTGTCACTTAAGGCAAGACTCTTGTTTAACCAAAAATTATATACAAGCACTAGTACAGAAAACACCTTTAACATCAGTTCTTAGCAACTTTCTACATCGGTTCTAGAACCGATGTAGATATAACCGATGTAGAAAGTTGGTGAGTTTTAACATCGGTTAAGAACCGATGTAGAAAGTCTGACTTTCCACATCGGTTCTAGGCCATAACCGATATAGAAAGTCTGACTTTCCACATCGGTTATAGCTATAACCGATGTGGAAAATCGGACTTTTTACATCGGTTATGGCCTAGAACCGATGTGGAAAGTATTAAAAATCACTTTCTACATCGGTTATGGCCATAACCGATGTATAACCGATGTGGAAAGTCATATTTTTTTTTAAATACGAATTTTAGTTTTTGATTTTTCAGAACCTGTACAACATTTTAAATATTTACAGCTACTCAGAATGTTAATCTATATATAGAGGACATGCATTAACACACAAGTAAACGTAATGTATATTATATATCTACATTGTATTGTATCAACAAACAATAAACATGTATTGTATTCTAAGTTTATATATACAAAGAAACTAGCAGTTCTAATGTTTCACAATTAAATTCAATCACGACTATAGTTCTTAATAACAAAATCTGCCCAAATTCGTCTAATGTCATCAATATCTCGCTTCACTTATTGGATGACCATCATCGAATATCTACAAAAAAAAAAAAAAACATTTCAGATAAACAGAAGTAGGCAAATATATGTCAATGACATAGATATAGTCATAACACATACCAAATTCCATGAATCTGTGATATTTGCTGTGATGATTGTTAACATATGTCTCATCACATAATATCCGCACTCCCAACTTCCTTTTTGCTTATTACACTATAAGAAAAAAAAACATTAAATACAGAAAATGAGTAAATTAAAGTTAAGAATTTGAAAGATAATGTCCTTACACGTGGAAGTATCCATGTGGGTTTCTTTTTAGGCTTACCCTCCATGACTGAGTATGCTTCTATACACCTATAAAAGATTAAATGGAAAATACTTCATATTAAGACATGTGGAACTTAAAATGAAATGAATGAAATATTATACAAGGGTGTTAGTATACTTATCTTAAACAATTGAATGTTGTCTGGATCGGGATTTGGGAATGAAGCACAATTATTATGAAGTACTTACTTATGAATATAAAAAGTAAAATCTGGATACTATTTAGCTCAAAGGAGTGATTGGGGACCTAATTCCTGTCTTATGTTCATATGAAGCATATCTAACCGAGAGTTCAAGCCATCTTTGGTCTTTCCTTGAATATTGAGGAGGGTTCCAATAAGACTGTCACACACATTCTTTTCTACATGCATAACATCAATATTGTGCCTTACATCTAGACTAGACCAATAAGGAAGCTCAAAAAATATGGATTTTTTCTTCCATTTTTCCTTTTCATGGGAAACTGTTTGGGTCTTTCCAAACAAACAATGAATGTCTTTCACCTTCGAATACACTTCCTCTCCTATTTTAGGGTTAGGAGCGATTTGACTCTCTTGAAAGCCATTATAAGCCTTCTTCAACCTCCGATATGGATGATTAACTGGTATAAATCTTCTATGTCCTAGGTACACTCGTCTTCTTCCCATGTTTCAGCTTGATGATAACACGTTTCTTCCATACAAATAGGGCATGCATTATGTCCTTTGACACTCGTATCCACTTAGATTTCCATAAGCAGGGAAGTCATTTATCGTACAAAAAAGCAAAGCTTGCAATTTAAAGTATTCATTACGATATGCATCAAATACCTCAACACCCTCTTCCCAAAGAAGTTTTAAGTCTTCAATCAAAGGCCAGTAAATAAACATCAATGTCATTTCCTGGTTGTTTGGGGCCGGAAATTATCATCGACAACATTACAAACTTGCGTTTCATGCACAATCGAGGAGACAAGTTGTAAATTACTAACAAAACAGGCCATGAACTATGTATACTACTTAAATTGCCATAAGGATTCATCCCATCTGTAGCAAGTGCTAGTCTAAGGTTTCTCCCCTCTTGACCAAATTCTGGAAATATGTCATCAATTTTTTTCCATTGCAGAGAATCGATCTGGATGTCGTATCTTCCCATCACAGTTGTCTTTCATCTACATGCCACGTTAAGCTCTTTGCATCTTTGGCATTAGCAAATAGCCGCTTAAACCTTGGAATTATTGGAAGATACCACACTACTTTGACAGGGGTTCCCGATGAAATTGTCTTATCACAATTATCTTCTCCATCCTTGACTTTAAACCGTGATGTACCACAAACAGGACAATTATGCAAACTTCCAAACTCCTTCCCGTACAGGATGCAATCATTACGGCATGCATGTATCTTCTTATACTCCATACCCATCGGACAAATTACTTTCTTTGCTTCATAAGTACGGCTTGGAAGTGTATTCCCTTCCGGAAGCATTTCCATTAATAATTGTAGCAACTCCGTAAAACTTTTATCCGTCCACCCATTTTTGGCCTTTAAGTTAAATAATTTTAACACCGTCGACAACCGTGTGAACTTAGAACATCCTATATACGAGAGGCTTCTTACTATCTTCGCATAGTTCTTCGAATACATATCCTTTTTCAAATGGCTCTTCACCGATATCACGTATCAAATCCTCTAGTCGATCATTGGTTTCTTTCTGGATTTCAGTTGTCTCGAAGCCATTGGGAAATCTACTACTTCCCCATGCCAAATCCACTTAGTGTAACTCTTGCAAAATCCATCACAAAGGAGATGCTCTCTTATATCCTTCACACTTAGTTGTCTTAAATTTAAGCACTTCACACAAGGACAATAAAAGAGACCTCTATTGTTACCCACATTTCTCTCGTGCAAACTCTAAGAACTCTTCAACCCCTAATTCATATTCTTCTTCTATACGTTTGGCATTTATCCAACTCCGATCCATATCTATAGGTACATGACGTCTTTGCTTAGTGTGAAAATGGAATTACCTCTATTCAGAGGCAACAAACTTAAACAACTCAAACTATAATCCAAACCGAAATAGTACTCGGAACAACAAGTAAAACTCCAGGAACAAAACAAACAACACAAAGAACAAACCTAAATCAACAACATAAGAAACAAACCCAAATGAAAAACAAGAGAACCAAATATAATCAATACCCCAAAGCCCTACACCCCAAGCAGTGGAAACCCATAGCCTTAACTCTTCCGCTAAGAGACTCGGACCAGAGCGACATCAACCAACCCAACAGGGCTTGGATAACACCAATCTCAACCCCACGAGAATAACCAAGTGAAAATCACATATTCAAGTCAAACTAAACGGAAATAATAATACAAAACCCGGAATAAACATGTCTACATACATTAAACCCAGGCAGAATCAGTCCACGACCAAACAAAACAATCCGTAATAAAGGAAAATGCATAAAGGTAATTGACAAAACAAGGATGAGAAGCCAATAGGATAGACCCACTGACCTGGTCCGAATCACCTCCGGTTCGCGACGAGATCGAAGGTGTGCAGGTGCAATGAGGAGGAGCTCCTGGAGGGTTTCGCAGAGGTGAAGACGAGGGTGGCGCGTCGCAGTTCTTGGTGCGCGTCGCAGCTCCTCGGTGCGCGTCGCAGCTCTTGGTGCACGACAAGGGTGGTTTTCTCTTGGGGATTCGATTGGGGAAACCGGAGGTTAGGGATTCGATCGGGGGAAGGAGATGGGAGAGA